ATGCTGATTACCACATTTGCATAACAACTCTTGTGATGATAACCGCATTCATATAGTAAGGTAAAGAAACAATGACCAAACCACTCATATCAGAAGATGGAGAAATGACGACGTTTCGGTCTGTCCTGGACCATTATCAAGTCCTGCGTGAGGAAGAGAGGATTGATTTATGAAGATTAAGGCCCCACAAGAGATGGTATGGGCATAAGTATCCCGTAGGTGGTAGATGGTTAGAGTGAATGTGATCTTTGGTCGTGTAACATCTTTAAGTGTTTCTGGGACCTCGGCCCAGGAAGAGAGGAAGAAACAGGCCAATAATTAAGGAAAGAGTGAGGTGAAGAGCTGGCAAGAGAAGAAGGTAATTTCTAAAATAAGGTAAGAGTAAGGTGAATAGGATGAAAGGTAAGAATGGGATGAAGGAAGAATGGGATGAGGTAAGAGGAAGGCAAGGCTTAAGTCAGATCATGTTTGTTAACACTTTCGCGCTCTCGGCGAAGGTCACTCAGCCAACCGTATGTGCGCGCGGCGTTTTTATAGCTTAAGCGTAAAAACAAAAATGTGTATACTCTTTTTACTTTTCTGACCTTAGTTTTCATGCTACGTATTTCATTTTGGTACCAACGTGTTCGCAATAAAATTCTCTAGAAGAACATCAGTAAAAAAAGTCACGAAAGCTATAGAGATACCAGCATGAAATAAATAACTACGAAGATGAGTCGCCGTGAGCGCTCAACAGCAACAAAATGTTTTTACTCTTGGGATTATTATCACCTCTACAATTGTCCTACAGCCTTAATTTTGGTATCAATGGACTCCCAATAAAATTCCCAACACGGTGATATGAATATAATCGTAGAATAATGGTCCCGGCCCACTCGCAAGAGTGTGGGAAGTGGGCGCACTGTTACCCGGTAACGGTGACCGGACGACACACGCGCGAAACGTTGCTTTGAAAGTTTATACTTATTTCACTGTTCTGATATTATTATTGTATGTATGTCATTCATTTTTGTGGCAATGTTTTCGCAATAGAATGTTCTATGAGCTAAATTATACTATACAAACTTGGACCAAATAGGTGTACTTACCAAGGGAAGGCTGGTTGTGGAACAGTAAGTTGAGCATTTGTTCTTCACTCCACCTTCTTCAGGTTCTTCATTCCTGAAGTTGCTCAACAGATGGTTTGTAGGTGGAGTGAAGCTGTTGCGGGTGGTTACTTCTTCACCACCCAATACACCTGTTTCCGGTGGTAATTGGTGTAGCAGGGAACAACACAGAGTGCAACACCACAGATCTTGCATCCATAGTTCGTGTCCTTCCTTTTACCGGACCGTGCGCATGCATGACACTTGAGACGTTTGGGCAGTCTGTAAATTTCATGTTTCAGTTTGTAGTTCATGCGATTTTCTGAATCAACAATAGGGCGGCCAGGTCCTCTCGCTGGAGGTGTAACAGGAGTTGCAGGAGAGTCAGATTCATCTGACAAAACAGTTTCGTCAACTGGCAGTGTGGCAGACATGTCGGGTTCAGATTCGTTGTCTGCTTCATCTTGAGGTGGTGTAGTGAACAAAGGCCGCCTCACACCAGATGGTCCGGGAGTTGGCATGGCGTCAGCATTGGCAGGAGCTGTGTCATCATTTATGTCTGGAGCGTGCCGCAAGTGTTGAGATGATGATGTTGTTTTAGGCCACTCCTCTGTGTCCCAGTGCAATAGGGCCCAGATTGCCACTTCGTGGAACTGTAGCAATGTTAGCTTTTTTCGATCAGTTGTGTTGTATTTGTAAAAAACATAGGCATTATGCAATGCCATTTGCAGGAAATAAAAGGTAATCTTTTTGGTCCACTTGTGAGTTTTCCTGGTAAAATGGTAATATTTAACCATTTGATCGAAGTGGTCCACACCTTTCATGAACTTATTGTACTCGCAAATTGCAGTCGGTTTGTTCACTGTTACCTGTTGTATTCCACTTGTTCCGTCTCGGTTGCGAATTCGCTTCCTTCGCTGAACTCGCTGAGTGTCTGCATTGTGGATGTTGGTAATGATTGAAACCACTCGCTTGTCTTTCCACAGGAGAATGAAGGTATTATCTTTGCGGCGGTATACTGTGGTATCCAGTGGAAGTTTACCCTTGGCTAGAGCTTGCAATACCTTTGGGGCGCCACATAGCATTTTAATTGTGCCACATGTGTACACCCCAAGTTCTCTCAATGTTTCTGTCAGGGTAACCGAGTTGTAGTAATTATCCATGTACAAATGGTAACCCTGGTTCAGTAAAGGCTGCATCAACCCCGTTACTGTATCCACTATCGTCTTACCAATACCTGAGTATACGTCAAAGTCATATATGTACCCAGAGACAGATTCAGCAAGCATATAAAGTTTCACACCATACTTGTCTGGTTTGTTTGGATTGTACACTTTGAAGGATAGTCGGCCTCGCCATGCCATTGTACCCTCATCCAAACACAACTCTTTCTTGGGGATGTAAACTTGAGCAAACCTCTCTTTCAAGTAATCCATCACTGGTCTCACTTTTATCAACTTATCACGATTGTTCACGGGCACTGCATTGGTATTGAATGTGTGGAAAAACTGGTTTATATGCTGGAATCGTCTGGACGTCATGAACAAGCTGAAGAAACGAGCATGCCATGGCTTTGCTGTTTGCCAATACATCCTCATAGTTGGGAGCCTAATTATGCCCATCAATATGAACAGTCCTAGGAATCGCGCCATTTCACTCACCTTCACTGGGGTCCAAATATCTGATACATTTTCATTGGCCATCCGGAATAACTGCGAGGCGTACAAATTTGTTTCAACGGTAAAGAACTCAAGGAGGGCACGCGTGATGAACAATTGAATATAAGCCAGTGCACTAGTAGGCTTGGGAATTTTCAGTCCAGGATTTCCAGTAAAATCAACAACAACTGGAGAAATATTGCTACGACTCCAGCCCTCACCAGCCCCAGCCTGCCGAGTACGTACTGTACGTGTACGCCTTTCAGCAGGCTCGAATGAATCCTCATCACTTTCCTCATCACTTATACTTTCAGAATCACTTGGCGCAATTTGTCGTGTGTTCCTACGACGAGTAACATGTCTGGTAGCTACTTTTCTAGGTAGCCTAGATGCACCACGTGTGCGCCGAGATGGAGGAGGAGGAGGAGGTTGCGGTGCCTCCTCTTCCTCGGTGAGGGCCTCAGTCTCCTCATCACTCGTTGCCGTATCATTCCCTCTAGCTCTAGGTACACTATAATCGTTGTGGGTTCCAAAATCTTCCTCCAATACCTCTACATCACCTTCAGCTTCTGATAAATCCTCCACAAGGCCTGGAATTTTCGTTGGTGTGAGCTTCACTCTGCTCCACTTCTTAAAAATTTGGGTTATTTTGTCCACTCTCGATGACCTGGAGGCTTCCTTGGGCGTAGAAGTGCTTGGGCCTTGACCTTGATCCATTTTTGATGAAGTAATTGGGTATAATCCACACGGAAACGGGTAAAAATGCTCGAGTTTGGCGCGCGAGGGGAGCGTGATCGACTCACGACACGTGACACGAAAACAATGGGCCCGTCACGTGACTGGGTAGGCCGACGCGCCAGGCGGCCTAGTGGTGAGAAAGAGAACTTCATGGCGCGTCGTTTGAAACAAACCCCAATGAAATCGGATTAAAATTGAATTTTATACAAATATTTTAAAAGAAGACATAACTTTATGTCCACTATGCGTTTACGTTAGACGAAACCGTACGCGCCGGCGCATCCAGATAGCGCGAAAGTGTTAAGAAGGTTGGAGCATTTTACTATGTACTGTGAAAGGGAAGAGTCAACAGCAACAAAGCCAAGACTAAGGTTCATGTTGAGTACGGTGTGTATCAGAGCCAATTCGACAAGATGGCATCTGTGAAGTGTAGTGGCAGGAAAGATTATATTTGAAGAAGACCAATTTATGGGATGATTACAGTTCCCAACATGACAGAAGAAAGAAAGTATTGTTTGTGTGCAGATTTAATATTTCTTTTGTGTTCCTTAAGTCTGTCATTTAGTGTACAGCCAGTTTCACCAAAGTATTGGAGAGAAATCAGCCATTCACGACGGAATCAGGGTAGGAGCCACCAGAGCTCACCCAGTAATTGGTATTTCTTACATTCAACACTGATTTTCTGGGGGTAAGCCCCTTTTGGCTCGCTGAAGCTAACTACTCATGCGGATGAAAAACACAAGGACTTGCCTGGGAGGAGGAGGAACCACAGGCAGTCAACATGAAGACAACATAACCTGGCCCTCTCACAGAGGTGAGAAATATGAGCCTTGGAACAAGAAACCGAGGAAACAGGATTGACCCACAAAGCATCCACCGAGACAGAATCGATGGTACAAAGTTTGTGGCGGACAGCTGTTATAACATGGCACACTGGTTGAACCAAGCATCAACAACCAAAAGACCTGTCTGGAAGCCAGTGAACTCATTCTTAACCAGAAAAGGAGAAGCTAGTTACAGACAAACATCAACCAGGCCCAGAAGATAAAATAATTTTTACTAACTTAAACAGACACATATCATTTCAAGCTTTGTGTGAGGGAGGGGAAAGGTACCTCCATGTTAAGTTGAACCTTCAAGCTTTCAAGGCACTAGTTAGCAAAAGCCACTTGGCATCACAAGTAGTTTACTACGTGGTTTCTCCGTCATATTATAACACAGTGGTGAAGCGATGAGAGTGTGCATGTACACAAGTGCTAACACACTCATTTATAAGGTTGAATATTTACCTGGATGTTTATGTCTATGCTGGCTACTATAATGTGTTGCGGCACGTGAACTGAGTGGTAACTTTAATGTTTCAGTTTGGCCTTGCGCTATTACTTATTTTTATACTATAGCCCTCCACTATTATGTCATGAGAGCGGGGAGGGGCTTCACATAGGTTATTCATGGGCATGAATCTATTATGTCATGAGAGCGGGGGAGGGGCTTCACATAGGTTATTCATGGGCACGAATCTATGTAAATATTTATTCATAAATAACAATTATCTATATAACTAAGTGGAGCTTGTTTTATTACATTTACATTAAAGTTTTTATTGTAGTGTTGTAGCTATGATCTTTCCTCCAGCATATGTTTATATGATCTGCTGTGATTTATTATAAAATGTTCAACATTTTATACAGGTCTTTCATATGCCAATTTTTGAAAGAAAAACTATTTATATATCAAAATACTTTGTTTGATCTTTCAAAACAACATTTCAGCCCTGCTTTCACATTTTAAACATGAAAAATATTGTATGTGAACGTTCAGAAAATTTACATCAATTTTAATATCAAGGAGCAGTTACAACCTTTTTTCTAAGAATTAATAATATACAAGAAAGAAGAGTAAGATCCTCAAGAAAAGTCAAGACAGAAAGAAGTGTAAGAAGACCAAAAACAAAGAAGTTTGAGAATATAAATAGACATAACAATGGGAGATGATAAATCACTTCTATGATTCAATATATCATTGCCTTAGACTGGTTTAATAAAATCCAACACTAACACCCTTAAACATAGTAATATATATACATATATATTACTATCACAGAACAATTGTTTAAGATAACCTTAGACTCAAAACTCTATACTGTATTGTGTGACTGACAAATGCAGTAGTCTTTCTGTGGAAACACACCATCACAATTACTTCTATACACTGTATACATTTTTTTTTTCATTAAGCTGTTTTTTCAAATGCATTTTGTTATACACTGTACTGTATTAACAAATTCCATAAGTCAATCAGAAACATCACCATAAATATAAACATATGTACAGTACAGTATTCCTATAATGTTTCAGTGATGTCAGTTAAACATTAATGAATTCTACCTGGATATGAGAATTGGAAAATACTGCATAATCTGTGAGAGAGACGAGTTACTAGTAATAATTAGTACTGTATTACTAATATCCTCTCAGTTTACATGCAGCCAAAATGCTGCTTCCCAAATATGTCAAGTGTGGTAGTGAAAAGTGTAATGAATAGCTCTCATCTACATATTTAAATATTCATCCTAATTTAATACATTAACCCCATCATTCTTTCTAACACCCATATACTTGTCACAGTCATTTTTTGTCATGTCTATGTAGCCATACTACCCCATGTTCTATAAATCAATTTGTGGTAAGCATTTTATGCCAAATATCCCTTAACTTACATGCTGGTTGAAAAGTATTGACTTGAAGTACGAGTGTGATATGACAGCAGTGAGAGGAATATATGGAAATTTGTCTGACCACATGTTGATGCAGTTTTTATACCCTGTTTGACACCTTCACAATTTTCTCCAACTTATTTTGCTATTTCCTGCTCCTCATTTAATTTGCATTCTGCTGTGAAATAACTTGTATCCCTTAATTTCGTATTTGGAATTGATCCATATTTTCTAGACACCCATTTTTCTGTGATTGCAATAAAATTATTATTTCAGTATAAACTATTTTTCCTAATACTGTACTCCTACTATTTATATAATATTCCTTTAGTTCATTATAATATTTATTCTTGTGTTCCACTCTATTATCACTGTTTCAAGAATAACTTTTGAAAATCCTAAATCCTCATATCTCTTTTCTTCCACTTTCATAGATTGGATATCATGTTTACCGACCTCCACTCACTGGAACAAACCCAGATGCTTATCTTTTAGTTTAGTAGTGTACATCCTGACAAATAGCCCCCTCAATCACCTCTGCCCTTGACAGATATACAACATTCCTTCTATACATGTCGTTTTTGTCATAGAAATTGTTTCAATTGTCAATAACAAAATATTGCATTTCATCTGCAATATTTGTCCAGCCAGCAGGTCATACCACTTGAGGGTTGAAGTGGAAAACCAGCAGCTTGTCGACTTGAGCCCCTCAAGGCATCACACATTCCACCCAAGACGCACACTGCGTTCATTTCAAAACTGCATTGAATATACAGTATACTGTAGCATTAGCCATTTCTTCAATATAATAACACTGGTAGAAAAATAAGCTCTTTCATTATGTGGCTATTATAGTGTAGCACTGTGTGCTCTTTATTCAATAATTTATGAAGAGATATTTATAAGTTTGAGAAAGAAATTGTCCACAATTCCATTCCATGTCTCCTATTCATCTGCACTATGTCTACCTACCTGTTGCCTATCTGTTGTTGATTCCGAAAATCAATGTCCCTGCAGCCCGGTATTTGACCAGGCTTTCTGGTTGGCAGTCTGGTCTTAGACACTGCTGCTCGCAGTCTGATATATGAATCACAGCCTAGTTGATCAGGTATCCTTTGGAGGTGTTTATCAAGTACTCTTTTGAACAAGGTTTGGTCCCTTAATGTTGATAGAATTGTCTCATAGCATACCTTTTGCAACCATGCTTTTCATTGGGGCTATTTTGCACTTTCTGCCATGCTTCCTGGTCTCAAGAGCAGTTATTACTGTCTGCAGATTTAGAACCAGTCCCTCTTAACATTTTCCGTGTAAAATATTACCTCCTTTGCATGTGCTGTAGAGAATACAGGTTTAGAAATTTTAAACATTCCTAATAATTTATATATTTTATTGAATGGATTTGGGAAGTAAACAATCTCTGAATGTTCTCCAGGTCAACAACTTCTCCAGCTTTGAATGGGGCTGTTAGTGTGCAACAATATTCACACTAACAGTCCCATTCAAAGCTGCAGAAATTGCTGACCTGAAGAATGAGCAGATATCATTTACTGACCGAATCCATTCAATACTAAAATATATAATTACCATCATGTTTTATGCATTGCCTACACTTAACATAGTAATGTAATTCCTCTACAATTCTCAACTCCATAATCATACAGCCAGTAACAGTAGCTTATGTTCAGAACTCTTAACAGTCTTAATACATAACAAACAAATTATTACACAAATTCTTCCCTGTAACTTTCAAGTCTAGAGAAATGATAGAAAAATAATTCCCAAATCCTGGAGAACTGTACATTACCAGAAAAAATTAATAGTTCAACAGAGTGCTTATTTTCTATTGGTTTGCAACAATAAGACGGCCGCACCTGTTCTGTGTAACACCAAACTTTCAGTACCTGGAAATACGACGATAATCAATGGTCAGGTGTTGGGAAGTTGATGCCAGAGAATGTGGTCGGTGGTAATGGTAAGGAGGAGTTCAGGCCTATGCCAACCTAAAAGAAATAAACTTTTATTAGCAACTAGCTAATACTAAAGAGAAATCACTTTTTCATAAGTAAACCCAAAACATTTAAAAGATAATTACCATCATTGAATGTTACCCTATTAATTCTTTTCCTTTAGAGCCTGAAGTAGATACTGTATTTGACAAAAATAAATGAATTTAATGCATAATTTTAATAATTAAATCATATGTTGGTACCAGGTATTCTGAAAATATAACTTTTCTGAACAGTTTTCACATATAACATGGTGTGTGTACTCACCTAATTCACCTAATTGTGCTTGCGAGGTTGAGCTCTGGCTCTTTGGTCCCGCCTCTCAACCGTCAATCAACAGGTGTACAGGTTCCTGAGCCTATTGGGCTCTATCATATATACACTTGAAACTGTGTATGGAGTCAGCCTCCACCACATCACTTCCTAATGCATTCCATTTGTCAACCACTCTGACGCTAAAAAAGTTCTTTCTAATACCTCTGTGGCTCATTTGGGCACTCAGTTTCCACCTGTGTCCCCTAGTGCATGTGCCCCTTGTGTTAAATAGACTGTCTTAATCTACCCTATCAATTTCCTTGAGAATCTTGAATGTGGTGATCATGTTCCCCTAACTCTTCTGTCTTCCAGCGAAGTGAGGTTTAATTCCTGTAGTCTCTCCTCGTAGCTCATACCTCTCAGCTCGGGTACTAGTCTGGTAGCAAACCTTTGAACCTTTTCCAGTTTGGTCTTATCCTTGACTAGATATGGACTCCATACTGGGGCTGCATACTCCAGGATTGGCCTGACATATGTGGTATACAAAGTTCTGAATGATTCCTTAAACAAGTTTCTGAATGCCGTTCTTATGTTGGCCAGCCTGGCATATGCCGCTGATGTTATCCTCTTGATATGGGCTGCAGGAGACAGGTCTGGCGTGATATCAACCCCCCCCCCCAAGTCTTTTTCTTTCTCTGACTCTTGAAGTTATCTTGAGAGGTTATCTTGAGATGATTTCGGGGCTTTAGTGTCCCCGCGGCCCGGTCCTCGACCAGGCCTCCACCCCCAGGAAGCAGCCCGTGACAGCTGACTAACTCCCAGGTACCTATTTACTGCTAGGTAACAGGGGCATTCAGGGTGAAAGAAACTTTGCCCATTTGTTTCTGCCTCGTGCGGGAATCGAACCCGCGCCACAGAATTAAGAGTCCTGCGCGCTATCCACCAGGCTACGAGAAGTATTTCATCTCCCAGATGATACCTTGTATCTGGCCTCCTGCTCCCTACACCTATCTTCATTACATTACATTTGCTTGGGTTAAACTCTAACAACCATTTGTTTGACCATTCCTTCAGCTTGTCTAGGTCTTCTTGAAGCCTCAAGCAGTCCTCCTCTGTCTTAATCCTTCTCATAATTTTGGCATCGTTCGCAAATATTGAGAGAAATGAATCTATACCCTCCGGGAGATCATTTACATATATCAGAAACAAGATAGGACCGAGTACAGAGCCCTGTGGGGCTTCACTGGTGAATTCACCCCAATCTGAGGTCTCACCCCTCACCGTAACTCGCTGCTTCCTATTGCTCAGGTACTCCCTTATCCACTGGAGCACCTTACCAGCTACACCTGCCTGTCTCTCCAGCTTATGTACCAGCCTCTTATGCGGTACTGTGTCAAAAGCTTTCCAACAATCGGAACACACAACTAGAACACACAACGGAACACACAACACTTACACACACACACAATGTATGTGTGTGTGTGTGTGTGTTTGCACATCCAATGCATTGAGATTTAGAAATTTCATCTATAAATATGGTTTTGAGTAAATATGAAAAGCTCCTCTCCAAGCAATGTCCCCTAAAGTAAGACCTCTTGCCTTCACAAATATTGTGACAGGTGATATTTTTGACATTGACACAGTTGAAAACTTTATAAATGATCCCTGTAGAGTAATTAAAGATGCCAGGGGAAAACTTGGGAGAAACTCTGTAAAACTTGGAATGACTGATACAAGAACAATTCTGTAAGAACTTAAGAGCTGTGTAGAGTTCTCCCTTGTGATTAGATAAGTTGCACTTAGCAGTCCATTACTTATCCAGTAAGCCATTGTGACCAGATGGCAGCACCATCACAACACAGTTCCCTGACCCACAACTCTTCACATTACACATACTGCATTCAGGAGAAAGGAAGAGACCAGCACAACACCCCAGAAACATCCCCCAACATCCCCAGGTGTTTTTCATATTTGCTCATAAAATGCATTCCTGAATGAAATGCCAGTTTTGGGTTGCTTTACATTGCCACTTTAATTAGAACAAGCAAGTGCCTGTTCTAGCTATATTTTGACAAAAATAGTGACATCACTGACCACAATATTAATTATGATTATTGTAAGTATTGAATTCACACCCATTTCCATGGAGGCCATCAGAACAGATCAGTTGACACTGATGTCCTGCAGTGAAGAAAAGGTGCACACATGAGGAGCCTCGACATGGCTCTGTTGAGTCAAGCAGTTCACCACAACCACCACAACAGTCAAGCAGTTCACCACAACCACCACAACAGTCAAGCAGTCCACCACAACCACCACAACAGTCAAGCAGTCCACGTGTGGTGGCTATGGGGGCCACCACAATCCCATAGAATTGGCAAGACCAAGCCCACACAATATACAACGGACAGTAGCAAAAGAGGAACCCCAAGAACATTTATGGACCTGGAAGATATTAATGACGAGGAGAAATCTATTACAAATAGTTAACTTGAAAATCTTGGAATTTGATGTTTTCAATATTTCTTCAGCTCACTGCAATCAAACTAAAATTACTAAAAAAAAAAATTCCTACCACCAGAAAGAAATGAGTTTGAAAGGAAAAAAGTTTTTATATTTTTTTTATATACCCCAGAAAACTGACCCAATTTAGGGTGTGCAGTTAGAGCATTAAAGAACAGGTGGAAATGAGATCAAGAACTAACCGTATAAATCATGAACAAAGAAAGGCACACAGAGCAACAGAATAAAGCCAAGAGAATCCTTAATCACTACCCAAGCATAATCCCAAAATGCACAAATCACGAACCCTACACAATTGGCCTTTCTTAGAAGTTGGTGTACCTGAAAGCATAGAACTTACTAAACACATCCAACATCAAAACAGTATACTACAGTATCTCTGGAAAGTCAGATGTAATCCTTGAAATTTACAACATTGCATCAAAACTAAGTTCTGCAGGAACTTAGAACTTCAATCCACTGTAGGTTACTTCTAGGTGCATAAGCAATGTAGATCAGCATGATTGTAATGACTTTGAATCGTACTTTGTTAGCTTATTCTCAACCCAATAAACTGCCTCTAGCCTACCTGATGATGTGGAGGATGGGTGAAGATATTATTCATAGAGTTGTTAAGCACAGCTGGAGGTAATCTATTTGTATCTGACTGAAGGCCCTTAAGTGGCTCAGAAGGCGGCAGGAGTGATGAAGGCATCGGAGGAAGGCGTGCTTGGCTTGGTATAGTTGCACTAAGTACCTCATTGTTTCCAAGTCCTCCCCCACGAGACGATGATGCCATACTTCCACTATTATCTCCACTCTGAAACATGCCAGAATTTCTATAAACTTTTGTATAATTTCCCAAATTATATGACAAGTTATCCATGACTTGTGAAAGATTATTCATAAATATCAGTAGAATATTTCAAAACATTTAATATTATGCAGACAATGAGTCACAATAACGTGACTGAAGAAATGATGACCAAACCACAACTCAGAAGATAGAAAAGCGACGACGCTTAAGTTCATCCAGGACCATTACCAAGTCGTGAAACGTTGTCACTGCTCCATCTTCCGAGTTGTTTGGTCATCATTTAATATTATGGTATGTTAAAATATAAAAACCAGCATCGAATATAATGAAATAACTATTTCTGGGTGAACCCCAATGGCTCCCTGAAGCTATATGTTGAGATGGTTACCATTTACTGGGTCAATCAGCTGTAGAGTTCGAGGCCTACTGGGTACTGGAGCCAGAACCCGGCCCCCTCACAGAGGCACAGGGAGCAGCAACATTTATTTTCACCACCTCACTGGGATAGGCAACTAGAGTGTCAGAGTTAAAACAAACAAATGCTGGATTAAAAAGAGACCAAAGCCTCAAAACCACCTCCCCCCCCAAAGCCTCATAAAACCTCCCCAACTATGTAAACAATCGAATTCCCTCAGAACTAGTGCAAACTCGTTCACCCCACCTCCCCCCATTTATTTGGAGGGAGAGGGAAAGTAGGTCACCATTTGCTCAGGCCTGAGCTCCCAGTTCTAGAGCAGAGCTAGCCACTGGGGCTCACCTAGAAATTGATGCTTCATTACATTCAACTCTGGTTTTCTGGGGGGATCCTCTTGTGGCTCCCTGATGTTAAATACCCATGGAAAAGGAAGAAAACCTGAAAACTTATCAGGGAAGAGCAAGCCCTACAGGAATCAGGACAGTGTCAAGACTCTTGGTGGAGAGACATGACCCAAGGCCACACAAGAGTGCTGAGGCCCGGTAACATTCAGCAAATACTGGGCCACCAGAACCCTATTTGACCTCCACACCTATTGAGGTCGAATATCAGCCCAGGAAATGTTTGCAAACACAGCCAAAAGAGTGGTATACTTTCTAACGTCATGGGCACCAGGGTTGACTGCAGGCTGACTAGACTTAATAACACTGCAGATGACCAGAAAAACACAAACTCTGGAACAGAGAACCAAAGAAACAGGATCAAACCAAAAGGCAGCCACCACAGCAGAATTGGTGGTTGGAAGGTAGCAACAGAGAGCTGCCATTGAATGCAACACATGATGCACTCCTGGTCGAACCAACCAATTATCAACAACCACAGGATTCCCCTCCAGAAGCCAACCAACTTGGTCTTTGCCAGAAAAGAAAGATCTGGCTGCAAATAAACATAATGCCACCAGGGACAAAAGAACAAAATCCCCGCTTTCAGAGGACAGCATCAAGCTCCTGAACCAAACAACCGGAGGAGAGAGAAACCAAAAATAAAGCCACAGAAAAAGAATCATGGCCAGAAAGGGGAGACAGTGATTGGGGCCAAATATGACATGACAGCGGGAAAATAGTGCCAAAATAGTACTGACACTGAGCACAAGCTGTATTGGCTTTGCCAGTGCTGCATGATACAAGACAACAGTACAGTATTTGGCATGAGATATCAGTCTCATGCCAATCAAGAAAAAGCCAAGAAAGGAAGAAGGGCAATGAAGGAAGGGGAAGGGAAGTGGTGAAAAAAGTCCCATGAAACCTCATATTGCCACAGAGAAGAACACAGGTGGGACACAATCAAAGACGCCACCTGCTTCCTGTAAAGATGGTGATAAAGATACGTAAAAAACTTCAGATGCAGAGAGCTGAGAAGGTCGAACCAGCGAAGAACGTCACGAAGCTGACCTTCTGATAGAGGAAGAACCCCAGAAAATTGCCTAGATTCATACAACAAGCAAGCAGTACCTAAAACTAAGGCTAAGCTGGCAACAAGGGAGCCAGAAGGATCACTCTTTCCCCTTGTAGGACTCCAACCTGACCAGGACCCAAAGAAACAGCTGGAATGGGAGAAAGAAGAACAGAAATCTCCACTTGGACTAGTCTGGCCAAAAGGCATCCACAGAGAAGGCCTGGGAATTGGGGAACAGAGCCATGTACAGTACAGGGAAGGCACTGATTCCATGCCGACACAAAGAGGTCCACATCTGGGCACCCGTACATCTCACAAAGATAAAGGAAGGAGGCAGCATCCATTGTCCATTCTATGGAAACGGGATGGAACCAGGACAGATTATCTGTGAAAATGTTGGACACTCCCTGGACATGAACACTAGAGAGACTAACCCTGAGAACCTAGCAGGTGATCTACTCAAAGCATCCAGCTCTAAAAGAGACAGGTACCAAAGAGAGCCCCCACTGTGGAGACAATGAACCAAGGGGAAATAATCCAAAAGGAGACAGAGCACAGGGAAATCCATGTCCTCTACTGAGCATACCACTCAGCAACACACTCCCAAATTGTATTGTGTGGCTGATGAAGGGGAGGGGACCAATGACCCTGGAAGGCTTAGTGAGCACTCATCACACAGACCCAACCCGTAGTCAAGGTACAGTATATATAAAGACGTCGAGCGAGAACAGTGCAAGCCACCAGGAAACCAAACCCCATTAAGCCAGAAGAGGAAGCTGGCAACACAGCAGCCAGTGAAGGGCCAACAAGGCCCACACCCAACAATCACAAGAATGGCAAAAGGGGCTGCCCCAGAGATACCAAAACAGCTGCCAAACCCACACCTCACCCTGAGGATAAATTATGCAAGCAAAGTTTAGACTCCCTCACAACCACTTGAGCAACCTTTAAGTCACCTGGGGCAAATTCAACACCAATAAATGGCAGTACTGCAGCCAGGTTGAAGCTGACTGATAGTCCCATATGAAGTCCGATCCTAGGATGGAACCAACTGGGACTTCCTCCAGCCCACCAAGAATCCAAATCCAGTGAGCTGGGAAAGAACTGTATCCCTGGCTAGTGAACATGGGGACCAGGTGGGAGGCCATACCAGCCAGCCATTTTGGCCAAAATCCCAACTCAACAAACAAATAGAAGTCACACCGACCTGAGTCAAATAAGTGGACCCCACTTGGAGCCAGACTGAGCGCAAACAGGCAAACTCGAAAGTGGTAAGCCTGCCGCCCCATGACAAAACCTATCCAATCCCTGAACTTCAGATATACTGTATAGAGATGTACCAAGATACATCCCGGAAGTCCAGGGGGATCATCTAAGTGTCTGCCTCAAGAACAAGACAAACCTGGGATAGAGCAATTATGCAAGAACCCTTGACTTACCCATGGCGAAGGCCACATCAAGCAAGGACCCCTAAGGGAGTGACCCCAGAACACACCAGGGAAGAGAACTCTTGTCAGAGCAAAAGCAGTGCTAGGGTACACCCAGGGAAGAGAATCCTGAGCACATGCAGCTACAAGCACACTGGAAACCTGGCTCATGTTACACTGTAGTGTAAGGCAACACCACACCACTTGGGTGAAAAAAACAGGACACAGGAGCCAGTATGGGAGAGAGGCGATGCATTAACCGCTACATCACCACTAGAACCGAGCTTGGGGACACTGGCTGGCAATGGGCTGCCTACCCCTATTTTGTCAACAAAATAAAATCCAGCCCATCAACCGTGAAGAGCTCAGTTCCCCAGGGTACTGTGCTTGCTCCAGTACTTTTTCTCATCCTCATATCGGACATAGACAAGAACACAACCTATAGCATGGTATCTATAGCAACCTATAGCAACCTATATCATCCTTTGCAGATGACACTAGGATCTTCATGAGAGTAGGCAACATAGAGGACATGGCAAACCTCCCGTCAGATGTAGATCAGGTCTTTCTATGGGCTACAGAAAATAATATGGTGTTTAACGAAGATAAGTTCCAGCTCATGTCCTATGGAAAAAATGAAAATATAAAAATGGAAACCATGTACAAAACTTAGGCAAATCATAACATAAAACGAAAAGGCAATGTAAAGGATTTGGGTGTACTCATGTCGGAAGACCTTACCTTTGAAGAACACAATACAGTAGCCGTCACAACTGCAAGAAAAATGACAGGTTGGATAACAAGAACTTTTCACACTAGAGATGCTATATCGATGATGATACTTTTCAAAACGCTTGTGTTCTCTAGAGTGGAGTACTGCTGCACAATGACAGCCCCTTTCAAAGCTGGAGAAATTGCTGACCTGGAGAGCGTGCAGAGATCCTTTACTGCTAGAATTCACTCAGTAAAACATCTAAACTATTGGGACCGACTAAAGAGCCTAAATCTATACTCCCTTGAGCGCAGGCGGGAGAGATACATAATAATTTACACGTGGAAAATAATTGAGGGGCTGGTCCCAAACCTGCACACAGAAATAGCATCACATGAGACCAGAAGACATGGCAGGATGTGCAAAATACCCCCGTTGAAAAGCAGATGTGCAACAGGTACTCTGAGAGAAAACTCTATCAACATCAGAGGCCCGAGACTGTTCAACACGCTTCCGCTACACATAAGGGGCATAACTGGCCGACCCCTCACAGTGTTCAAGAGAGAACTGGATAAGCACCTCCAAAGGATACCTGATCAACCAGGCTGTGACTCATACGTCAGGCTGCGAGCAGCCGCGTCCAACAGCCTGGTTGTTCAGTCCAGCAACCAGGAAGCCTGGTCGACGACCGGGCCGCGGGGACGCTAAGCCCCGGAAGCACCTCAAGGTAACCTCAAGGTAAGGTAAGGTAACCCCTTCCTGCAAATGAGTTGGGGAGGTGGGTGAATAAGCTTGTGCTAGTTCTGAGAGATTTTGATTGTTTACATAATTGGGGAAGCTCTTCCATCTGGTTTAGAGGCTTCGGTCTCATTTTGAATCCAACAGTGGTTTATTTTCACTGATTTTCTGGATGCCTTCCCAGGTATGGTGGCAAAAATAAATGTCACCACTCCCTGTGCCTCTGTGAGGGGAGGCCAGTCTGAAGAAAGTAGATAAACCCCGATGAAAGGTTGAGTATAGCTTTCTTGATCACTATCAGGCATTTTATTTCATATTAAACTAGACATAATATTTCAAAATTCCCATGAAAGCAATAATGATAACCAACAGCATTTCCAACTAAAGCTATCTTGATGAATTTTGATGCTACTGAATAAGACATAAAGAGCACTAATTTGTCTTGTGTGTTAATATATTGATGTAATTTTATTTTCATCATAATTTTATATAAATAAAATGCTGTCTTGTTTTCAGACAGAAAAATCTTAAAACTCACCTTCCCATCTATTTCTGGAATGATGCTTGTTAAGTTGAAGTTTGACAACGATGAGGAAAGATGTGGAGCAGCAGGAGGTGCCATATTAACCTGCTGGCGATCCATCATGCGTAAGGGGCTGAAAGGAACATGTCCAGGTGCCCCAGGTGGTAGAACTACAGATGAGCTGGTTCGTGTTCCTGGAGGCCCAGCTACTCCTGCTCCTAGCTGACTAGTGCCACCTGCTCCAGTTCCACTGCTGCTTCCAGGATACTGACCAGTGTTTATAGGCATGAGGTTATCAGGGCCCAAAAGGAAGTTGCCTTGATGACGAGGGCCAGTTCCAGGAAAGAGATTTGAGTGGACCAGTGTTGGGTCATCACAAGGTGGTGTAAAAGAATGGAGAGAGATATGAGAGAGTGCCCCACCTTCTAAAAGATTGGAAGATCCCCCCATTCCCCCACCCACCATGTTAGTATCTCCATAACGTGGTCGTTTGCTACTGACTCCACTGCTACTTCCAATTCCATGATTACTAGAGCTGCTAATACTTCCTCCAATACTAGTACTTGAACCAATGTTGCCACTACTACGGTTTGAATTTGATCTTGAGTAAGCTACAGATGATGAAACTGAAGATGAAGGAACCAGCTGCATGTCGGCATGGGGGGCACGAACAGCCATGGCACCACTGGCTCCCATCAGTCCTCCTCCACTGCACACATCTTGTGGATCTAGAGGTAGTGAGAATGTTGGATTTGGAGGAAAATTACTTTGGTCAGCTGGAAACTCATGAAAGCGATGGTATGACCCCGTCGGATGAGGTGGTGCCATAATCTCTCCCGACAGCATTGACGATGACGACGATGGCAGGTTTTGGTATGGATAGCCAGTGGTCATGTAAGCCATGTTACCAGTGTATGCTAGTGATCCCGATGATTGTGTGTGAAGTTGAAAATTATAATCAGGGTTACATCCACTTTGACCACTTCTATCATGACCTGTGTATCCAAATGATGTATTTGGTACAAAATTTTTCATTTGCTGTGGTGAGTAATTACTCTGATACATTTGATTAGGAGTCATTATAGGATAATTTTGATTTGCAGGAGGACGATGAGTAGCTCGACCATAGTTCTGTGTACTAAGAAGGGCTTCTGCAGAGTAATTGTGCCCTTGTTTGTGGGCCGATGAAGACTTATTTCCCCACATCACTGTTGATACCGAACTAGTATTGCCCTGCTGGGAGCCTCTAGCAGGACTTCTACGGCGAGACTGAGAATCAGTCTGAGAGCTGTTTTTGGCACTTCCATTTCCACGAGACTTGCTCTCCGACTTCCTGGTACTGGACTTGCTACGTGGCGAATCTTTAGATTTATCTTCAGACTGAGATCCTGAACTGTCTTTTTGCTGTCCATTGACTGATCCCTTGCGGGGTTCACTAGCTTGACTAACCAAATGACTTACAGAGAAGCATCGAACATGTTCAGAAGCTGGCTCAGGACGCATTGGTGTGTGATCATCAGTAGCTTCTATGAAAGTTCCTGGCATTGGCATGGGTGGGTTGTGTGGAAGGCGGGGATCAGGCATCATAGTAGGGTCAGGAGGTAACAAATCACCATGCTGGTATTGATGCTGTTTCCCATAACCATAGCATTGATGACGTCCCTCAGATCTTGGCGAGTGGGGCATCTTGCGGCAATAAGTATTATAGTCATAGGTAGGTGGTTGCATATAACTAGGAGCAGAGACCATGGGGGGATGATAAGGCATTGAAACCATTCCGGGTTGTTGTGATGCCTGCATCACTGCTCCCGGTAGTGAACCTGTTGTGCTCTTGTCACCTAAAACATCTGCAACTTCCCCTACAATAGAGGTACCTATGCCAGGCACGATATTACTATTATGGGAAATAAGTGGATGCCCACCCACTTGCTGTTGCTGAACAGCAGCATTTTGCTGTTGTCGCTGTTGCTGTGCCAATTGCTGTGTTTGAGACTGTTGATGTTTCTGAAGATTCTGATTCATATGAGACTGGCTGTGAGTTGCAGTGGTATGTTGTTGTGCTCTATGATGTCCTGGATGTTGATGTTGTTGTTGCTGTTGTTGTTGTTGCTGGAGTTGCTGCTGTTGCTGTTGATGCTGCTGCTGTTGTTGCTGCTGCTGCTGTTGTTGTTGTTGTTGCTGTTGCTGCTGCTGCTTTTGTTGTTGTTGTTGTTGTTGTTGTTGTTGTTGTTGTTGGTGTTGTTGGTGCTGTTGTTGGTGCTGCTGTTGTTGCTGGGTATTACTTGCAGGCTGCTGTGGTCCCTGTTTATGATTAGCTTGATATTTAACAATAGACTGCTGGTGTTGAGAATGAGTCTGAGGTGGTATTGTCTGTGTATTAGCTGGAGATCTCTGGGATACAACCGAGTCATTTGTCTGTTGTGGCTGTTGATGGTTAAGTTGTTGTTGCTGATGTTGTTGTTGCTGCTGTTGTTGCTGCTGCTGCGGCTGTTGTTGTTGCTGCTGCTGTTGTGGTTGTTGCTGCTGCTGCTGTGGTTGCTTCTGCTGTTGCTGAGGATGTTGCTGATGCGATGAAATAGATTTTGAATGAGTTCCCAGTTGAATTTGACTTAGCTTGTCACATTCATGTCTAGGGCTGGCAACAACTTGGTCATGCTTTCTAGGATACGGGACTCCATTGCTGCTAACTTGAGGACTCTGTTGTTGTGCATTTGTACTTGATAATTGTTGCCCGAATTCATGCTGTGATGATGCAGATGTAGAAGCGGAAATGACTATGGCTGGTTGAGATGAACTATCCAGTGTTTGTGAAGATGAAGCTGGTTTAGGTTGCTGCATAGAGAGTGAATTGTCTGCCAAATGAGGTGGACTTTGTGAACTTGGTTGCTGCTTCTCTGATCTGGCCTGTATATGTTCATCTATTGAGGCAATATTTCTTCCTATGTGCTCTCCAGGTACAAATTTGTCTGAATGGATAGCTACTTTTGCCTCCATTGTTTTATGGTTGGATTGGTCAGACTCCTCTTGTGGGCAATTTTGCATGCCATGAAGATTTGTGCTAGATGTAATCTTTTTTTTATAGCTTTCAGATATTTGCTGTATAGTGTGCATACTGTAATCATTAGCAGACTTCTCTTTAGTTCCTCGTTGATCTTTATCAAGTTTGTGTGCAGCAACATCTCTCTTTGAACTTTGAACTAGATGCTCAACTGACTCTTTGTCCAAATTTAACATTGTTTGAGTATTCCCGTCATTTGCCAAAGAAACCGATGAAGGACTTTTAGAAATAGATCCAGCATGATGTTCAATAATTTTTGAAACTGCAGCAGGGGTCTTTCCTTGGTATTCCTGTATCTTACCTTGAATGTCATCTACCTCTGGCACAGCTTGGGCAGTAAATGTTGACGTTTGTTCCTGGAGACCATTTGATGAATGTGATACTACGGAAGATCCTAATGAAGTATGAGTTATAGAAACTGGAGTTTGATTGATTGAGAACAGTTTACTATGATGCTTGGGCTGACTGTTACTAATTTTGACTACAGGTGTTTGTTTCTCTCGCTCACTGGAGTGTGTCAGTGAAGATGAGGATACTGTGCCATGACCCCTAGTTGCTCCACAAAAAGAACCATTACCCACATATTTTTCCAAAACAGTGGGTTTAGTTTCTTCACTTTTTAACCGAGCTATACTGGATGACTCTGGCTGGTGTATTGGCAATGTAGGGTTTACAAGCGAGTCGAGGGTTACGGCTATCAATTGTGCAGCACTGTGAGAAACAGAATTTTCATTATTTGCTGGCATGATTGATTCATTAACTTTTTTTTTGTTAATGACTGATCTTGAACTGTTGTCATCTTCCATTCCTATAAGAGACTTCATTTGTGGCAACACAGGCATTAAGGAACTAGCAAATGATGAAGTCACAGGAAGAGTACAATTTGAGGCAATATCTAGAGATGAAGAAGACACCTCAGGAAAGTGAGGCAGGGTACTATAAGAGGAACCTAGAGAATTTGACTTTACAGCATCGTGTACTTTGTTTCCTAGTGTAGGAAACATTGGAGAAGCATGAGGAAAGCTCTCAAACCCATAAGGATCTGAACATAAGGTTGGCACAGTGGAGAGAGCTTGTGGTGCTACTGAAGTGGTAAACGTAGTCCCAGAGCACGACAGAAGAGATCCAGCAGATGAAGTCCCTCCGGGGAGAAGACTTAAGGGATCATGTGCTGTACTAGGCAAGGGACTAGGAGCATAAGTGTTAGTGGAAGATAATGACTGCAAAAATGATGCAGAGAAAATTGAAGAGGTTGAAAGAGGCAAACTTGATGGTGATGAGAATACCACTGGAGTACATGTTGCACCAGGTGTTACAGTGGTAGTTGAGCAGGGTAAACTCCAAGATGATGATGTCGAGGGGGCTGTTAATGAAAATGAAAATGAAGCTGGAGAAGCCATCTGATAGGAGGAAGAGAGTGGCATTGAGACTGAAGAAGGTAGTGAGAGTGATGCAGATGATGGGAGAGAATGTGGAATAGATGATGAGAGTGAAATTGGGGCAGATGAAGATAATGATAATGGGTTAGATGATGGGTGTGTAACTGAGATTGGAGAAGAGAGTGACAGTGGAACAGATGATGACAATGAAATATGAGCAGTGGATGAAGATGAAACTGGGATAGATGATGAGATTGGCATGGAAAGAGGTGGTGCTAGTGTAATGGGGAGAGCGGATGAAAGTGAGGCTGAAATAGATGATGGCAATGATATTTGAGCAGAGGCTGTCAATGGAACAGAGTTAGAGGAAACATGTGTAACATGAGCAGTTGATGCTAGTGACCTGGGCACAGATGATGACTGTGAGGCATGGACAGTATGTGAAAATGATGTACAAACAGAAGGTGAAATTAAGGTAGGGATAGATGATGAATGTGAAGCAGGAACAGACATTGAAGGTAGTGACATAGAATTACCTGTGGGTGATGACAAAGCAGTTGAAAGTGAAGATGACAATGATATAGGAATAGGAGGAGATGGCAAAGAGATTGGGACTGTGTGTGTGGTAGTGAACAGACTAGGGAGTGTCATATGAGTCACGGTATTACTGCCAGTGACTGCTTTAGGTGGATTAGAAGGCATACAGGCTACAGTAGAGTTTGCAGTAGTTAAAGATATGGATGGTGATGAGAGAATTCCTGATGAGTAATGATCTGTTGAGAGGGATGGAAGATGTGGGACAGGCATGGGTGGAAGAGCTAAAGGAAGAGAGTGGGCATTAGATGACAAAACTGATGGAGGTCTATGAAAAATGGATGGTGGTGGAAGAGCTGCTGGTATTGACAATTGACATATGGTTGGTGCTGAAGATGCCTTTGGTAAATTTTCTCGTGAGAGTAACTGTGTAGTCGCAGAAGAATATGCCATATTAGGAAGTATTAAAGGAGTAGAAACTCTAGTATGAGCACCAGTCATAACTGATGATGTTATCATGGAAGAATGTGCTTCAGAAAGACCATCTGGTAATTCAGATGCAAAGGGATTGTTAGAGGTAGATATGGAATGAGTAGAAATGACCCTGAGAGGTGAATCTACATCTTCTGCCGGTCGAGAAGACAGACAAAGAGCTGTAATACTGTAAGAACTACTACTAAGAGAATTGTCTGTGGACCCCCGGGAGCTGACTGGACATCCCAAGTGATTAAGCTCTTCAGTAACTGCTGCAGATTCTTCAGGTGTTTGTAAGGATGCAAGTTTAGCTTCATTAGATGCGTTGTCATTAGATGGCCCTAGAGTTACTTCATTCTCACTCCTTGTGTGAGCATCATTTACATGATCTTCTACATCACCTTGATCTTGTGACTGCAACTCTTTAGTTGGCTTCAGTAAACTTTCTGAAGTTGTTACAGGGGAAGCTGGTGGAGAAAAATCACAGGATCTTGGGTCACTCTCTATTGATCGCAGCATTTCTACAAGCCTGTCATCCGCAGGACTGCTAGTTTCCATAGTGGCTCCACGAATGTTTTCTGCAATAACACACGGCATGTCAACTCGAATATCCATAATATTTCCCAGTGGATCTTCTTCATCACAATCCATTATTCCTGCTGAGTGTACCAAACCAGTTAGAGTAGAAGTAGATATTTCTTGAAGATCTTGACCTTGTTCATCTGAAATTTCTACCTGGTTGGCTGATACAGATTTTGTAGTTGGATCAATTGATGGTAAAGTAGTCAAAGGATTAAATTTTGAGACTGTTGGTACACCCGAGTCACAATCAATCTTATTACGCTTTGTTGGTTTATCACATTTTTCTAAGGGTAGGAAACGCTTCGATTTTGACGATGTTCTAGAACTGGCCTGGACTCCTTCCTTTTTAGTGGGAGAAACTAGAGTCTTCAAAGTAGAATTCACAAATGTTGATGAGCCACCAGTTGATGCAATGTGAGATTGGCAGGTGGAAACAGCTTTACATGAACAAGGTTTGGGTGCTATTGGTTTGAGCCTTGGTGTCTGATGCACTGGTGTAATGATGGGCTGAGATGGGAGAAGAAGCAATGGGGAAGAATTCATCATCTTCATAATCTTTCCCCTATGAAGAATTGGTGGCGGAACTCCAGTGGACATGATGGGCACCCTCGAGAGAGAAGGAGTGACATACGTAAGCTGGGAATTATCTGCAATAGGTGGTACCAGCTGAATTGTACCTGATCCAGGATTACCACACTGCAACAAAACAACCTTTTGTCCTTTATTATTTAATTTGTCACCACCGCCTTGCACCTTGAAGGTTACCATTTGTGGCTGATTGCTAAAGGAATTAGATACTTGGGCTGGAAATTGGGGTACAGCAGGTACTGGATTATTCTGAGTGTCTGATTGTATTGTGACTTGTTGCACATCTTGCACAACTAAACATGCTTCAGATGATGGCAGCAAAAGCTCCTTACTTGCAGTGGATATTTTTGAAGAGCGCTCCATTTCCATTTTTACATTCCTTGTTAGTGATAAAGGCTTTCCAGAAGAGTTACTAGTAATGTCTTCTTGATCTTCAATAATATTTACAGTAACTGTACCATTGTTAACAACTCCATCTACAATAATTTTTTCCTTGGAATTATAATTTCCCTGTGATCCAAGTTCTCTTACACAATTTTGAGGCAAAACAGAAATTTGTTCTTTTAAGTAATTAAGTGGTAAATTTGATTCCCTTTTGGTTGTAGGGTCCTGAGGTACAAGTCTCACTGTATCAATGCTTCCCACTCCATTTGGTTTATTGTCACAATTATGTGGTAAAATTGTAACTGGGTTGCCTTTGTTATTAATAATAGGTATAGCAATATTACTGTTAGTTTCCTGTCCAATCGAGGGTATCACAATTTGGGATGCTCTATTCAAATTTGATAAAGTTGCTTTATTTTTTGTTTGTAGATTATCATTTAAAATAGCATTAGTAACATTTACGCTGTCTAAACCACTCTGAACTGTGGAATTCCTATTTTCCCCCTCATGAATAATAGGAGGAACTCTAGCATCATTGCCTGATACAAATTTTTCAGCAGGCAGTGTTCCATTTCTCTGAATATTTTCAACATTAGAGCTTTCATTAGAGTCATCTCCAAATGCAGGCTCAAGACAATCGGACGCTGGATCACTTTCCACCACAGGAACATGCTGGCCACAAGTCACCTTCCTTACCTCTGCATTTCTACAGTCATTCTGAACACATGTCCCTGTTGATGAGGGGAAGAAAAAACATATACAGAAATAAGACTACCAAAATAAAGTGCAGAAAGGTAAACAAAGTTTCCTGTAAGATTTAATATGAGGAACTAACCAGGTGTATCAGTATGTACAGTATATTCCAAAATGGCTTTCTGCCCACTACACACGACTGTGGCTCACAACGATGCAAGCTTCATCAATACACATTCTCTCACACACAGTATACAGTAGTCCCTATCTCGGCCCTTACACTTCAACCCTATTTAGGTATTTTTCTCCACGCACACATATATTCTCTCCAGCGGATAATTTATTGAAGAGTACCCTTTTTTCATTCAATATTTAGTAAACAAAACATTCTTTAAGAGTCTTGTTTAGAATTCGTATCCACTCTGAGAATCTCCTTGTACATCCTTTATATGATTGACCTCATATTTACCTTAAGTCCAATTCAGCCCTTGGGTATATTACACAATCACTTGCGGGAGTCAAACAATGCTGTGTCTTTGCTATCATAAGTGATTAATGTGCTAAATATAACATTGAGAATGACAATTGTACCATCACTACAATCATTAAACTCTGTACAATATCTTGATCAGTTTCAAAGGCAGAACCACAATTCATTAGTCATATATGATGTAATAAACATAATTCAAAGACACAATCATTTTGCCCATAATGATGCCAGTATAATGGGTCTACAGCTCTTACATTCAACAATGTAAACCTATATTATTTTTATAAAGACTTAAAATGATTACCTGAAAGAAATACTAAAATATATGATGAAAAATGCTAAAATCCATAATGAAACAAATGTTCTAATCAGTGAACTCGTACACAGTATAATGTCACAATGTTGAATAAATACAATTTACCTCCACCTCCCTCTACTGATATAAAATGCTGGGTAATTAAGCATAACATGCATGATACTTTACCATGGATAGTGTACAAAATTTCTCCATTTCCGTCATCTGTTTCAAAACGAAGACCAGTTTCCTGCAATATCTTCACAAGCAGGGCATTTCGCTTCTTTAATGCTGTTACTTGCTTCATCAGCCGCCTTATTTCTTTTTCTGTGGAATAGGCATAATAAGTACTGGCACAACAGGTACACTATTTGGCACTCAAAATGTCTATTAAACATCATCCCACCATTTGTGGATGATTTCAACAGCATATCCACCCTCATAGCCTGATCTGAGACCAGGCTCCCATGATGACTACTAAATTTTCTGGGATGTTCTTATGTGCAGTTCACATGCTAAGACATGTACTTTCTAAAGACACTTCTCCTGCTTGTTGTTTAAAACATAATCTTTAGAACATAAAAAAACCCAGTGTTGAATGTAATGAAATGCCAATTTCTGGGTTAACCCTGGTGGCTCCCTAAAGTTACGATGCTGATACGGTGCCATACTACTAGGTGCCATCAATTGTGGAGTTTTCTTTTTGGCCCACCAGGGACCATGAGCCAGAACATGCCCCCCCCCCCCCTTCCCTGTAGAGAGATGCAGAGAACAGTGGCATTATGATAAAATTGTCAGTGAATTTTAATCATATCTGCCACCAACAGAGCAGCACCCACAAAGTCAGCAAAACAAAACAGACCACTGCTGGTTATAAAGAAGATTGATGCCTCAAACTTACCAAAAGAATTCCCCAACAATGTAAATAAATTATCAAAAATTCATGAAACTAACGCAAGCTCGTTTGCCTCACCTCCCCACTTCATATGGGGGGGGGGGGGGAGGGAGGCAGATCAGGTCAGCCGATTGCTCCACCCTCAATTTCATGATGATGGAAAGACCACTCCTGACTCCTGGAAGAGAGAGGGTGTCAGGGAGCCACTGGAGCTCACTCAGAAATAGTCATTTCATTACATTCATTGTTGGATCTCTGGAAGGAACTCCTTGTAGCTTCCTGAAGCTACGAGCCCACTGAGAAAGCAAAGAAGGGGACTCACCAAGGAGAAGGAAGCATCTCAGGTATCACAACAAAGAAGAAACCACAGACCAAGACACATAAGCCAAGGCCATCCAAAGCCAATGAGGACTAGGAACAATCATGATATACTTGGTGGCCAGGACCCAGCTCGATTGCTAAAACCACCGTGCCCATACATCAGCCCAAGACATATAGGCAAACACAGCCGAAAGCGGCAAATATACGAATAGCATGGGCAGGAGGTTAGACCACATGCTGGCTAGACTTAAGAACACTGCGGACAACCTGAGAAACACGAGCCTTGGAACAGGGAACAAGGGAAACCAGATCAACTCACAATGAATCCACCAAAGCAGAAGTGGGCATACAAAAGCAGTAAAGAGCTGCCCCCGGACAAAGAATATAAAGCACCCTCAGCCGAACCAACCAAGCATCAAACATCAATGGAAGCCAACCAACTCATTCTTTGCCAGAAAAGAAGAAGCCAGCTGTAGACAAATAAAACACCCCCCAAGACTGAAGGAAGAAACACTCAATGCTGAAGAAGAGCAAGAAGTTCCCCTACACAACAACTGGAGGCGAGGGAGACTAAACAAAGCCTTATGAAAAAAATCACAGACTGAAGGGGACACTGCAAAACGAGCAGAAGAAACCACGTCAGCCTCCCCCCCCCCACTGCCCTAACAAAGGGGTGAACTGCAAAAAAGCCAATACAAACCCCTTGAACCGGACTTCGGAGGAGCGAGCACTGTGCCATCTGAACGAAGGAAGTGCATGCAACCTAGCCACTGACTCTACCACTGACTCTGAAGGAAGAGGTGGTGCAGAGGGAACCACAGTTGAATTAACCAACACCTCCAAATATGAGTCCTTTAACACCAACCAGGGCAGCTCTGGGGCATCCAACCGGCTACTCAACCTAGAATATTGTAAACCAGAAAACCTCAAGCATAAAGCAATCATTGCCCCAAAAACATGAACATCAACACATGGGTTTCTTAGGCTAGTAATGTGCGGAGAACAAGTCCCACACAACTTGGGGTCAAAGTTGTCACTGACCCAGCTAGCAGTACAGCAGAGGAAGACGGTAGGAGTATCGTCATGTGGCACAGACCCTATACAATTATCAAACTCACACACGGCAAGAGCAGGTTCAGTTGGACCATTGGACCACCATACATGCAGGGGTTTCCCAGGATCTGCAGGGAATAGCCCTACAGGAAACCCAAGCACTGGGATCACTATACCAGAACCCTAATTAGGAATCAGGTCTCCCTCCCCCCCATTATTAAGAAGGGAAGTCTCATTTATATTGAAAGACAAATGGAATAGAGTCCAAAGGAAATTTGAATGAATATAAGTAGGCCAACCCAGCTCACCTAAGGCTGAGATGCCGTGGGTAGATGCGATCCCAGTGCGCCCCACCAACCAAAACTTGTTCCTGACCCAAGGGAAAGACAGAAAGCCAAAAATAAACTGACTTTCCCCAGGGCAAGGACTACCACAAGTGAGGAAGTCCTGTAGCCCCCCAGGGAAGAGAACTCTAGCAGTATAAGGATGGTGCTAGGGAAGCTAACAGGGTATATAACCCTAAGAATATGCAGCAGCAAGTGCCCTATACTCCTGGTTCACACAGCACTAACATGCACTGGAACAGACACAAAGGCAAAAACCACCACTTAGCTAAATCAGAAAATGGAAGTCAGAGTGCCACATAGGTCACCAAACACTGTCTACTGTCAGCAAAGAACCGAGGGTGAAACAGCTGGCTGGCTGATCCGGTCTGCCTCCCACCTCCCCTCACATGAGGGGGGGAGGTGGGACAAACAAGCCTCCTCTAGTGTCATGAATTTTCAATCGTTTGTTTACATTGTTGGGGGGAGTTCTTTTGGCAATTTTGAGACATCAATCTTCCTTATAAGTTCAGTCAGTGGTCTGTTTTGTTTCACTGACTTTGTAGGTGCTTTCCTGATGGTGGCAGACATGATTAAAATTCACTGACAATTTTATCATAATGCCACCGCTCTCTGCACCGCTCTAGGGGGGGGGGTGAGGGGGGGCAGGTTCTAGCTTGTGATAATGAGTAGACCTAAAAAACTCCACGACTGATGGTACCTAAGGGAAAAAATACATGATGAAGCAATTACTACAAGACTCAAATACTGTCATGTGGTGTGTGCATTAGAGGAAAAAAATCACAAACTGTAGTGCCATCCAGTACTGTATACACAATCTTTACCTGTCCATCCAACCTATGTACATAAAGTATGATTACAAACACCCAAGTAAACCCCTCAAATTTGACAGTACAATATTGTGTTCAGAATATAAAGTTAATATTGATTGATAATATAATTTGCATAAGTCATATCTGGGTTTATTTTAAAGGTTTAATTTTTAAGCCTTTAACCCATGGGTCACAGGTATATTTTCATTGGACCGAAAGTGTTTGTTCCAAGCTGTACTTCATTCCATGCCTTAAAATTGCACTGTATCAATTGCTACCCAATCTCCCAACCTTTATGTTTCCAATTTGAACATCTTTACCATTGTGATCATTGCTGTTTTCTTATATGTGCTGCCAATCTGTTGTATGGTGTTTATAAATCTTGTTTATCTGTATCTTTTGCTACCCAGTCTCCCAATCTTTATGTACCCATTCTGAACATCTTTACCATTGTGATCATTGCTGTCTTATATGTGCTGTCAATCTGCTGTATGGTGTCTATTAATCTTGTTTAAATTACTAATCAAGCTGTCAATGTAATCAATCAGAGCTTTAATATAACAATGTGCTTTAATATACTTACTTATCTCTCTCATCTCATTTTTCTCTTGTAATGTATCTTTATCATTTATCAATTCTGATTGAAATTACCTACTTAAAATTATCTGCTAGATTAAGGACCTGCCCGAAACGCTGCGCGTACTAGTGGCTTTACAAGAATGTAAATACTGTACTATCCAATGTATTCTCACAAACCCAATGTACCTTCTTGTATATATATAAATAAATAAATAAATAAATAAATAAATAAATGTCATCAGGTCAATGTGAAATTGCACACTAAAGTTTTTAAATCCCAGGATAAAATCACAAAATATTGTACTCTTTACAGTAATGATATTTTCATAATTATAATTCTAAACGCTTCAGTTTCTGAAAAAGAAAATTGTAAATTTAAGGACATACTTACTCAGCTCTTGTGCTTCATTACTGGTTAATATGCTCTCTTTCAGTGCTTTGCAATCCTGGATGTATTCGATAGCAGTTTGAATGATATCTACTTTTGCTTTTGGCCCACAGTCTGGTAGCTCTTGCCGTAGCTTTTCTATAATGTTATTAAAACGATGGCGACGGGCTGCTTCCCACTGTCTTAATTGCCTATAAAGAAGAAATAATGGTGAGAGAAATGCAAGAAGTATTTAAGAAGGAACAGGCAGCCTTTGATTTGAACAAATGTGGATAACATGAATTTGCCTAAACATGATTCTGGTTTTAAACAAAAAATTTAAAATTTCAAAAATGTTGATCAACACTTACAAAAGTGTAGAAGTCCCAGGTAGATGGGACTTGATAGCCTTGGAAGGCAGCTTATCTAGGGGAAGGAAAACCCTGATTTCAAACCTCCGCTGCCTTGCGGCCATACCCCTCTTTTGGGAAAGGCTTCAGGAGTCAACCTCGAGGAAAAATCCGGAGTTGGAGCCCCTAAGGCAGTTCGTTGTTGACTTTGACCTCGTTCTAGCAGCTCCTGCGACGGTGCTGGAACCATGTGTATTGGCATTTGCCTTTCCATTGGATAATTTCAGCAACGTGGAGAGGGGGAGATCTGCTGCATAGGTAACAGCTTCTCCATATTGACCTACCCAGGCATTGCACCCAAGAGATTGACAACCAGAGTGGAGCTCCATAGTCTCTCCAGACTGAAGGATGCCTACTACACTTACAAAAATTAATGTTACTCACAGCTCAAGGAGAATACAAAACTCATCCATGTTTGTAATGGCATGTTAGCCCTTTCTATTTGCTTTCCTACTGTCAGGGACAAGAAGACTGTTAGGCACATCAGAGTCCAATGACTAACCTATCCAATGACTCACCTTCCCTACAATACAACTGACAACAATCAACTAACTCTCAGGTACCTATTTACTACTAATGTGGACAGAGGCTTCAGTTGTACAGAAATGTGACCAAAGTCTCCCAACTACCTCTCAAGAGTGGGTGATCCCTTGAAAGTTGTTAAAATAAAAGATGCTGTTGAGCCTTTCCTTATTCAATAGGCCTTTTGAATTTTTCATATGGTTCCCAGGGTTGCTTGTAACAAAACTGAAAAGGTGGCAGCTACAAAGATGACCAAAGAGAAGCAACATGTCAAGATAATTGCTGGGAAGTTGAAGATGATTGATTTTTAAAGGCAGTCTGCCTAATATTGTCATTGTTCGCATTTTACACTTATAAAGTGACAACAAGGTATCCTACAATTGCATCATTTGAGGGTACTGTATTTTGGTCCAAGAAGACTATGTTCTCTTGGACCCAAATACTAAGAACTAAGAGTTTCTTTCCAGGTGCCAGTATGAAAATTCTCTCTTCTTTCTTCACTCTTTGGATAGGGTGAAGAATGACATACATGCACACAGCTGCAGATAATAAACAAAACTGGCAAAGAGCAAAAAAAAACAAAAAAAAACATGAAACTCAACCTAATTTAATTGGTTACATGGGGCTTGTGGGGCTCATTTTGACTACACCTTTGACTTCAAGGAAATGACCTGACATGCCCGCATTTGAACTACTGTATCCAAGGATAGATACAGTCATCTCATTTTCTAGTGTGTGCTTTAGTCTTCATATCTTCAGCCACGTTATTGTGACTCGGCGTCTGCACAAGCATGGACATACCTGCTTTGGAAAAAGTTCAACACTGGGCAACAAAAATCATCCCAGAATTATGTCAACTCTCATACCAGGATGGGTTGAGGGCCACAGGACTAAAACTGTAAACCAGACATAAGAGGGCTGATCTCACTGAAACTTTTAAAATACTGAACAAGTTGGAGGATAATGATCCAGACCACTACTTTAAAAGATCAAATTTTGCATATACAGGTATAAGAAGTAATGGCATCAAGGCCAACAAGCCAAAATGAAGGTCAGGAACAAAAAATGCTCTTTCTCCCATAAGATTGTAAAATCATGAAACTGCCTATCTGCCTAAGCCTTAAATGCCAAGGCATTGCTATAGTTTAAAATCCAGCTGGATAAAATCATCAGGAAAATAGGGGAACCTTTGATAAGCCATTGGGTTCTTGTTCCTGTCAAGGCCACTAGAGATGGTGGGGCTCCCCAGATACACACATACAATTATTATATAATAACTGTATGATGAGTAGACCATGCAGTGCATCATACTGAACCAATATCATATATTCTATATTTTCTATTCCTCTAGTGGGTTTTCTTTTGTTTTATGTTAATCTACTGAACATAAGAGTTAGGATCCCATTGACAGTGCATTCCAGTCACAGCTAAAAAGTTGCAGGCTTTCCTAACTATGAAAAAGCCCAATACTGTACAGTACAGAAAAATGTTGCATCAAAATTTCCACATAGTTCAATCCTAACACCTTATCTATTGAGCAAATTTGCAGGAGCCGTGATGAGGGTTTGAACCTATGCACTAGGTGTTCCCAGGCACACACACTAGACAACTATGCCAAGACATGTTGCCTGGGAACACCTAGCGCATAGGTTCCAACCCTGGTTGATACCTGGTTAGTTGTCTCATCACGGTTCCAACGGATTTGCTCTAATGCATCACTATAGTATGATTACTCTCTGTGTACCTTACCTAATCTTCTTTACCCTAGCCAACCTACCTGAGTACAGTCACTTCATGAAGGTACTGGTATGGTTATCAATTTCAAAACTTAATTCCCTAATATACAAAAAAGAATGTGTGAAGTACATTGTATAGTGTGGGTTTATAAAACAGTAATAAACCCATGTAAAACCCACACTTGTGTATATGTGATATTTTTGTAAGGAATTTACACCAAGTCTTTCCCACTCTCCTGAGTACTTTATCAAGGTCTGAGTATGTGGTTAGGACGAGACTTAAATCTCAACAACTAATAAGGCTGCCATCCTGGGTCCAGTCCTCTTCTCCTTCTTGACCCCTTGACCAGGTCACCACTATTCCCGACTGGCGCTGTACTTGCGGTAATGTCTTCCACAGAAATATGGTTATGTGTCCTTTCTGTAATCCTGCTATTCTGAGAACTGGAGTTGTTATTAATAGAGGCGTTCATCTGGATGTTATCCCTCGCAACCCTCTCCATACCCCCAAAGTGGCTAATGGGACTGCTTTTAGTCCCAGAAATAAAGCTTTTGTTACCAACGAAAATATTTAGAGTATTTATTAGAACTCCTTCCACTACTCTTCTAGTTCTAATATTATGGCTGTACAAGAATGTAAGAATTCTTGTACATATCAATAAATAAACAAAAATTTAAAAAATCATGTTGCGAGTAATCATGTCCAACAGCCTGGTTGACCAATCCAGCAATGAGGAGGCCTGGTCGAACATTGAGTTGCAGGGATGTCGAGCCCTGAAATCATCGCAAGGTAATTGCAAGGTAGCATATGTTATGTCCGAATTGCTCTACATATTAGTGGCTTTAGACAATGTAATTACATATTCATTTTTTTATACATACAAGAGTTCTTACATTCTTGTAAAGAAGCTAGCACGCATAGAATTTTGAGCAGGTCCTTAATCCTAATTTTCCCCAGAATATGACTTGCCAAATCATTTAAACAGGTACTCATTCACTGCTGGGGTGAACAGAGGCTACAGTTAAGGATTGGCCCTCAGTCAATCCTCCCCGGCCACGGATACAAACCCAGGCCAAAGCGCTCGCGAAGCGCCGGGCGAGTGTCTTACCACTGTGCCAGAGACTGCCACTATACTTGTCTTACCTATGAATTCTCCACTATTCATGTCTTTTATGTATGTACTCCAGCTTAAATGACATATTATTATTGTTTATAAAACATGAATTCAGCCTATGTACAAAATTACCATTATACAGAAAATATATGATTGGACTGGATTTCTACCTAGTCTTGCCTAACACAGTTTATACAACAGTATATTGATTTATATGTAATAATAAATGTCATATAATCATGTACTTCCTCTTTCATGTCAGTTTTCCTTGCAATATCAAGACATTTTTGGTTTGCAATCTTTGATATTCCTTCCTCATCCCAAAAAGAAAAGAGAATGTCATCGTTTGTAAACTTAACAATAATGATAACTACTACAAAAAGTTCTTGCCACACTACCACTAAGTTAATATTAATTAATTAAAACCAAAATATACACAAAAAAATAAAGCAAAACAAACCCAGACACTTAAAAAGAGTCAAGACAAGACTGGATACTTACTTCTTAGCACATCCATTGGTCTTTTTCTCAGCATCACAGTTCTTTTTGTCTTGGCTATCAGTCTTAGTATGCGGTTTACTTTTATTTCGAGTCATATTATATACTTGTATTAGAGGAGAGAATCAATAGCCTCCGCCTGGCTATCACCAACTTGTAAACAAAACCTCCACAGAAAACGAAGTCGTAAACTCACTTTTTAAGGGGGAGGCTCATTATTTATTTTTGCACATTTATTTATTAATTATTTATTATGTATTTATTTTGTATTTATATACAAGAAAGTACATACATTGGTGGTTGAGTGTTACAGTCTTGCAAAGCCACTAACACATATAGCGTTTCGGGCAGCAGGTCCTCAGCTCAGTGTGGCCAGTGGGCTACAAATAGCGAATTGGGCTACTTTTGAGAGCCCCGCGCTCCCAAATTTTTAACTTCGCTACTTGCTTCTTTTTGGGCTAATTTAAAAGCAAGATGTGCTAATTTGGGTATATTCTTTCACGACCACAAAGATCACATTACGGGAGACATCTCCCGTCACGCAGGGTGCAGTTGCACCTCCACAGATCTCCAGTATCATCTATTGATACTGGTAATGGCTCAAAAGGGCCACCACTTACGGGCTATTCATGCCCGTGCCACCTTTTGGGTGGCTTAATCTTCATCAATCAATCAATCAATCTAACTAGCTATAAATAATTCTAATTAATAATAATTGTAAATATTAATTAATACTAAATAATATTATTTAATAAATTAGTCCCAATTCAATGCAGAGTTTTCTTCCAAGCACAGAAACTTGTAAATATAAATACAAGATAATAGATAGATCGATAAATAAATAGACAACTTTCAAATATTGCACCAAGTAATGGCGAGAGGAAAAAACTAGACAGTATACATTACATTTGAAATTAATAATGGATGAATGATAATAAATTGGTGTATGTTAGTAAGTATACCAAAGTCCATTTAATGGCAGAATTTAGCCATTTTGTGTAAAAACTTTTATATCTCATATTATTAATTATAACAGTAATCGAAAAAAGTCATAGTTTGTATATACAAGAGATGAAACAGAGAGCCATGAGCTAGAGCGATGTGCTGAGTCCATAAGGAGGCCGAGCTTTCAGAAATACCGTCCTGTGATTGGCTGTTGCGGGGAATACCAACACTCTTTTATGAATAAAATTTAAACTAAGAAATAGGTCCTTGTGCACAACAACAAGGTTGTTGTGAAAAACAACAACAATTTCTGTTTTGCACCTGACAGAAATCTCCATCTAACTGAATAATTTACTCGAATAAGAGGGCAGAGCAGTGTATCATTATTAGTGTTAAGGCAACCCCCAATAATAACGTCACAAGTTAGGTAGCCATGCAGCCCATTTTATATAACATCTGTTATATCCTGCAATATTTAATTATCACTTTATTAACACTTTAAATAATTAACACTTCACTTTTTTGGGTAAATTAAAGTTAAAGCAGAATTCCATAAGCAGGACTGGTGGGCTGAACTAAGATGATTTACTAAGTAGATGGCACCTATTTCTCGAAAAGGTAGCAATAAAATACGCTTTCTAGTTCTTTATTTTTAAAATTAAGACTAGGGATTCTGTCTAACGAAGCTGCAAGCTAAAACACCGTTATCCTATAATGTTCATCTGAAGCTTGACCCTAAATACGCGTTTATTAAACGAATTTATTGTTAGAGTTCATTAGGAATCAACTTTGTTGAAGGCCGAGCTTCCAACAAATACCTTCCTGTGATTGGCTGTTGCTGGGACTGCCAACACTTATATGAATAAAATGCAAAATAAGAAATACGTCCTTTTAATCAATAACTTTGGTGTTGTTGTACAAAAGAATAACAATTTCTGTTTTATACAAGACAGAAATTTTCATCTAACTGAATAATGTAGACCAATAAGAGGGCGGAGGCATATTGTATCGCCGATATTATTTATGTGAGGCAACACCCACTGATGACGTCACAAGTTAGGTAGCCAGCCCATGTTTCTGTAACACTCGTTACATCCTGCAGTGTTTAATTATCACTATATTAATACTTTTAAATACTTAACATTTCACTTTTTAGGTAGATTAAAGTTGAAGCAGAATGTCATAAGCAAGGATGGTGTGCTGAATAAAGATAATTTATTAAGTGGATGGAGCCTTTAGCTGATCCCTTCCTGTGATTGGCTGTTGTGTGAATGTCAACAAAGAGGTTCTACCAATGACATGCCATTTATTATGCACCCCATACCATCTGTGGGCGGAGTTTGGAACTTCCTACCCGAGCACAACAACCCGCCTTATGGGTTGCTGTTTGGCTATTTTTAGTGCGTTGGAAAAAAAAGAGATGGCGCTAGTTGTATTTTGTGGGGTAATTTGTTATAAGTGTAATTTGATGTCAACAGATGGCGTAAGCTGTATCTTATGGCCACTGTTGACCTGCCAGTTAATAGTGTTCTCTTCTGCCGACAGATGGCATCAGCTGTTATTATTACTTCCGAATTTCCTTTAAACACTGATCTATAAATAAATCCCTTGGCTTATTTATGATAAGGTTTTATACCATTTATGATAAGTATTAGATAACTGGAGTTCCGCAATTACTTTTATTTATCAACTGTTCAGGATATATCCATCATATTATGTCTGGTTTGGACGTACTGCTCTCGACTGATGAAGATTAAGCCACCCCGCATTTGCCTTGAGGTACTATAGCTAGCTAGTTATAGTTAAAAACTATATAGCTAGTTTTTTATCTATAATGTGTAATATTTCATATAGAAGAGGAGGCACGGCCATGAATAGCCCGTAAATACTGCTCTCGTAATATTATTCAGGGGGGGGGGAACTATCAAGTGAAAGCGCCAAGCCATTACGATTTTTTTTTTTTTTTTTTTTTTTTTTAGCAGGGATAATCCTGCGCGGGCCCTAAGCCTCTGGCTGGCCCACTAAGTGATGCTTGTTTCTGTTTTACTGGGCGGAGGATGAGTATGTATGACCCGTATGGCCGCTTCAGTAAGATTTTGCCATATGTGTTTAACAACTTCCTCTGCTCTGTCGAATCGAAGGTGAAATCTTAACGGGTTTGTAACTGTGCACTGTGTTAGATAATGTTCCAGTGGTCTGTCGGGCATTTCTCCACAGTGTTGACATTTCCTCTCACCTTCCGGAACCTGTAAGCCTAATCCATTACGACTATAGCACTCGGAAGGGATCAGGATACGGATTTGGGATGGAACGGGGGAAAGGAATGGTGCCCAAACTTTTGGGCGGTCGGGGATTGAACGCGGACCTGTAGGAAACGAGACCGTTGCTCTACCGTCCAGCCCAAGTGGTTAAGCGTAATATTATTAAAACAACAATTTATGCATATAATAACAGCATTTGACACTAAAAATACTTGGATATATTGAAATTTGGTAGTGAATTCCAATCTAGGAATCTCCTTTGACTAAACTGTACTTTTTAACCATTTTTATGTACTACTTATTATTAAATTATTAAGTACTTACTATAATAATTAAATAAATTATTTTATTTAATATTTAAATTAAATGATAAAATAATAGGTAATAGGTAATATTTTTTATGTACTACTACTTATTATTAAATTATTAAGTACTTACTATAATAATTAAATAAATTATTTTATTTAATATTTAAATTAAATGATAAAATAATAGGTAATAATAAATCATTGAGTAAGGGGACAGGCAGCCAGTGTATATATACATGTTAGGCTTATACCAAGGTGCCACAAAGGTGCCAAATTAAAGACTGTGTGCTGCCGGGGCGGGCCCAAGGGCTGCTGGCGGCCCTGGCCAGGCTGAACTTCCGCGCCCTTATAATCACCATTGTTTAATAATCTTCACAGGGAGAAACAACTACAAATATAGGAATAGTTTATTACAACATACACGGTAAAGAAAACAGCTCGGAAACTAAGGAAATAAAGCTGCCGAAAGAACATTAAAGTCTACTTCAAGTTCAAGTATGTTTATTGGTGGTTCGTTCATGCTAGGCTTGCAGTTACACAACTGGTCGGGGTCCGCTTACACAACTGGTCGGGGTTCGGGGTGCACAAACCACCACTCACTGGTTGAATAGGGGATGCTTAATGAACTATCCACCTCTGGCGGCAAAAAAAAATATATATATATATATATATATATATATATATATATATATATATATATATATATATATATATATATATATATATATATATATATATATATATGTGTGTGTGTGTGTGTGCAGAAATAATATTAATAAAACAATTAACATCGTGTAGTGTACTCTATACATCAAAATATATTACTTTGAAACCCATATCATTCACTAAAAAAAAATGGGCTACTCTTCGCTACTTTTAGACCGTCAGCTCGCTACTTTCAGCAATTGAGATCTGGCAACCCTGTTATCTGAATTTACGTAAGGGCCACGAACACTCTAGTGATCTCGATGAGTAGTAGTAGTAGTGGTAGTTTTTTCTACTACAAAAACTGTAGAAGTTTTAATAGAACTACAAAAAATAAGTAGTTTTACCACCACACGGTTTATAACCCTGTTGGAATAAAAGCATCTCCTGTTTTCAGTCCTACATTGTGGATTGTTGAGCTTGAAGTCGTTGATCTTTGCTTGTGTTACATTTGACCTTTTGAAGAACTTTTCAGTATCAACATCCTCCAAATTGTTCAGTATTTTAGGTTTCAATTAGATCCGCCTCTATCATGCCTGGTTTTGCAGTGTTGTTAGCCTTGTGGCCTTTAACCGTTCCTGATACGTAAGTTGACTTATGTTACGTACCTCTATAAGATACGTAATTAAATAAATTAATATGTACCTTTATAATTGTGTATAAATTACAAGTATGTATATTGATATACTTATATGTTCTATGTAAAATAATTTCATGTTACATTGTTGGCGTTAGGCCCAACGTATCGTGGGAATGATTGTTTTATTTCTTTGTGTACTCAGTTTTCCACGGGAACTAATGATTTATATGTGATCATATGTGGGTAACATAGGTGAATAATAATTGTGTGAACTGTATCTGGCAAATTGTCGTGGGATAGTCCGTTGCTGGATGAGCATGCCATCATTCCCCTTTGTATGTGTATTTTAATTACTATGTAAAGCAATAATTACCTTATTTTTGTTATACCAATATGTATTGACCATTCATTAAGTTAGTTTAAGATTACTCTTGTCACAATGTATTGCTCCATTGTAGAATTAATAAATATTGTAACTTTGACAATTTTTCGCGGGGCAGAAGATTTGCGGGGCAGATTTTGACTCCCGCAGATATGGAGCTCAGTAGCTGATACGGGTCAGGAGAGATCACATCTTTGTAGAGTTAAGTCTGTAACATTCATGTTGTGCCATATTTTATTATATTATATTATGTGAGAGACAATACTTTTTGTTTGGTTGTATAAGTTAACTTTACCATCTTATACTTTATGATTATGTTGAATTATATATATTTATTATATATATATATATATATATATATATATATATATATATATATATATATATATATAAATTTTATATGTATTCCTTCAGTCCTAAAGGAAAATTTTAACAAAGTGCTCATTACTTATTAAGGGGTTACACTGGTGACCCGCTTTTGTGAACAGCAGTTTTAGTAACCCTAGACCTTTTTTAAAGTTGGCTGTTGTAGGGTCACGAGTCGTAACGAACGATAAGTAACAACTTAGTTCTGGAATGACTTGTTGCCCAGTATTGCACTTTCTCCAGACCAGTTCTGGAATGACTTGTTGCCCAGTATTGCACTTTCTCCAGACCAGTTCTGGAATGACTTGTTGCCCAGTATTGCACTTTCTCCAGACCAGTTCTGGAATGACTTGTTGCCCAGTATTGCACTTTCTCCAGACCAGCTATATCCTTCTGAAGATAAGGTCTCCATGCTTGGATACAGTAATCCAAATGTATCCAAATCGCACCAGAGACTTAAATAATTGAATCATTATCTTCTTTTCCTTGAAGTCGAAAGTACGCTTAATTATTTCAAGTGTTTGGTTAGCTTTTTTGAACGCTGCCCCCACCGGCTGTACAACTTTCATGGAATGGTGGATTTAGACTTCAAGGTCATTTTCTTCATCAGTCTGAGTGTAATGTTATTAATTAGGTAATTGTGGCGTGGGTTGTTATGCCCCACATGCAGGGTCTTGCATTTGTCAATATTAAAAAGCAGTTGCCAGTCATCTGAACATTTATGGAGTTCCTGCAGATGTCTTTGTAAGGCTTTAACATCAGTATTATTCCCCACTTTGCCATAAATCTTTGTGTCATTGCAAATTTGATGATGAGTGTGTAGCACAAGATACTGTGTGAGTTAGTAACACAAGATGGGAAACTATATAAAGACGAAATTACATCTTTCCGAAAATTGTACTATTCAATAATTAATAGCATGCGGCTTATTCATAACGATGTAATCAGTTTCCGCTACTGATAATTCTCCTGGCACGCAATTTCCTGGATAGACATTTCCTGTAATAGACATTTCTTTTGGGTGAGTTTTCTCACCGTAAATAGTCGTAATTTCAAACCTGCAAATATGTGCAGAGAGAGAGAATTTCGCTCCAAAATATGGCTCAGGAGTCAGATTTGGGATATTTTGAAAACTGCAGGGGGGTTTGGGCAAAATGTGACCCATCGCCATTATCAGTAATAGGCATATTTTCGGTATAAAAAGTCGTAATTTCAAACTGCAAATATGTGCAGAGAGTCAGAATTTGGCTCCAAAATATGGCCCAGGAGTCAGATTTGGGATATTTTGAAAACTGCAGGGGGGTTTGGGCAAAATGTGACCCATCGTCATTTTCAGTAATTAGCATATTTTCGGTATAAAAAATCGTAATTTCAAACTGCAAATTTGTGCAGAGAGTCAGAATTTTACTCCAAAATATAGTTCAGGAATCAGATTTGAGATATTTGGGATATTTTGAAAACTGCAGGGGGGTTTGGGCAAAATGTGACCCATCACCGTTTTCAGTAATTGGCATATTTTCGGCAAGTCAGTTTGGGTCAGAATGCGAATTTCCTTAAAAATATATAAATTTAAAACATAAAATATGTACAATAATCCCTCAATTACGCTTAAAAAACACTAAAGCATAACATATCAAATATTTCATATTACAAATATACATCTTATTTTTTAACCTGCAGCTCTGTTTGGGTAAAATACAAAAAAACTCCATTTTCTCTTACGTTCAAATTTTCTTATAAAATTACTAAATATAAAATTTAAAACATGAAATCACCTTCCATTACGCTGAAAAATAGCATTCAAGCATAATATGTTATATATTCATCGTATTTTTTAAAATGCATATCAATTTGGGTACAATGAAAATATCTCTGCTTATATTTATGGTAAAATTTCCTTCTAAAAATTATTAAATATAAAACTTCAAATATGTGGAATCACCCTCATTTACGCTCACAAATAACACTTAAGCATAATATTTTAAATATCCACCGTATTTTTCAAATTGTTGGTCAGTTTGGGTAAAATGCACAAAATCTCCGTTTTTTCCTTATGGTCAAATTTTCTTATAAAATTGCTAAAATTAAAACTACAAATATATAGTCATCTTGAACTACGTTTAAAAATGGCAATCAAGCATAATTTTGTAAATATCCGTCTTATTTTTCGAACTGGAGGTCAATTTGGGTATGATGCGAAGTCTCTGTTTTTCCTTGTAGTCAAATTTCCTTATTAACTGACTAAAGTTAGGACTTCAAATATGAAACGCCTCGAGTTCGGAAATTAAATCCTGGAATAATTTATTGCGATCGTTGCATAACATCAACATGACAACAGGTTACAGTGTGTTGTTGTTACTGAAGACAGTTAATTTGCGTCCGGGTGGGTTAGTTTAACTACGTTATTACAATAGTTATGGCTTGGAGGCGAGAGGCACAGCTGGGTCAGATGTCTGTGGATGTATCGTGTTTGTGGCTGGTCGCTCGTCGAGGCAGCCTTGGGGCTTTGGGCGTTTGCCTGCTGGAGGTGGCAAAGTTACTGCTTCGGCACAAACCCGGGTCTTGAGCCGCCAAGCGAGTCTCACTAGTTCCTGTTGGACCACTGTCGGATTTTCTTGTGAAACTCCGAGCTAACGTTCCTAACCCTGATATTGCTTTCCGGAAGGACCCGGGCCGTCGATCAGGTAGTCTCTGGAAGGGTACCTCTTGTTCCACTCTTGATATATTCAGAGACACAGAACGACGGACTAGCGCTGACCTGAGGCGGGGGATGCACATCGACTCTTTTCCTGCAGGCTCCACGAAGGATGTCGAGGCCACTTCATCTGAAGAAATGGTAGTATTTTTGAGAGGTAATTCCACTGCCTTCGTCTGCTCTTTCCCGCCTTGCAACGATTGCTGTAGTCTTTCTGACTTGATTGTATCAGTGTCGTCGTTGGCCTTGACTTTCTCGAATAAACCAGGCCCACTCTGCATAGTCAGTACTGCCTTAGAATATATCGGAGAAACAGGGTCCACTAACTTCCCGTAGTCGACAGTGCTAATCCGGCGACTGACTGAACTGATAACACGTTTACTGGCTCGACGTCCACGCTGTGAATACGTCCGCACCAGCATTGCCTTGTAATTTCCTGTAGTATATACTTCCCTGCGCTGTTCCACGTCCAGAATACTCTTCTCGTGATCTTCTGAGGGCGGCGCAGACACTGGGGGAGTCTCAGGAGTCTGGCAATTACTTTGGTTCGCTTCGTATACATCGTGTGTGCCTGCCGAAATAATGTCAAATGTTTCATCTGAATTGAGGTCCAAATTCTCCATAGATCCATCAAATGTGATCCAGTGTTCCCGACGTGTGCTGTCATTCACGAGTAGATCAGCTGGAGGCTGAGTGCCGCCATCAGTGGTGGTGCCAGGCACTGAGGTGGACGAGTAAGGGGAAGCATGAAAAGTATCTTCCGTGGTATTCTTGTTGTCTTCACCATCATCAGATGCTTCACTATATTGTCTAGAGCTAAGCGGATCTTTGATGATGATGGAAGCTCCGGGGTTGACTTCACTGTGGCTACCTCTATATACAAAATTATTGCACAACTGAATGTTTCTGTTTTCGGTTGGGTTTTCAGAGTGAAAGTAAACATGTGAGGTGTCTTTGAGAGTCTCACATAGGTGAGCCGCTAAACATGGCCCTGGTGTCTCTTGCATGTCGCTATTTGCTGCGTCTTTCATATTTCTATCGCAAACTGAAAATGTGTTAGAACTGAAATTGCATGAAGAGGTGGCGGGAGGAGTCATGGAAGGTGAACTAGAGGAAGATACTGGTGCCACATCTGAGGTGGTTAAGGATAATTTTCGAATATAAGATTCAGGGGTAATGTTTTCAACTTTTTCATTAAGTTCTGTAAAATCGAATGCATTTGCCGCTTCAGGTTGATGAATGATTCTACGGTTAGGCCACCTTGGTCGATCAGAGATGGGGCTGTCAATTATTACTGGTGTATGACTATTCATAACCTTCGTGGACTGTTTTATAACAAAAGCTGGGCAAAATGCATCCCTATCAGTATGTTTAATGTCACCATCGTGCATCACGTCCTCCCATCCTGGGGGTATCTTCTTCAACTGATTCAGTGAACGCCCTTTATTTTGGCCCCTTAGCGAGTCCCACCTTGTTTCAAATGTAGGGTTATTGTCAGGAGTTGGATTTTCCTTTCGTGTTATGCAATCGTGTGAGCAATGAGTGAACATGGCGTTGCTTCCCACCAGCACGAAAGGCAGCATGTTCCTGTCGCTGTCGAGGTCCGGGGCGTGGCCTGGCAACCTGAAGGACCTGCGGGAATGAGCCTCATGACACCATCTCTTCCCAGCGGCTGGTGACTCCGGAGGTCTGTCGCCAGTGGTGTTGGCCGTGTATGTCCCTTCACTGGGAGATTAATGGAGCAGCGGTCTCACCCTGGAAGCGTCGCTGGCTCCAGCAGTGTGTCTGCTGGTTCCCGGTGGCTCTCGTCCCTCACCCTCGCCTCGTGGCCTCCTTTCAGCCTTCTTGCTCCGATCTGAAAACGAAATTACATTAAAAATCTAGGTAGCGTGAAGACTATACATTGTCAGTGTTAAAAATACTCTCACGCTTCGCAATGTGCACTGTCTTAAATCTGAGATAACTGGGCGATCAGTCACTGAATGTTCGTATTAATTTAACAAATGGTTCTTATGACTATAAAGAATTTTCATATGAGTAACTTGCCCCAAATATGTGGAGGAAACAAATTAGCGATAAACAATTTATGAAGCTTGAAGCGTCTGCCATTCTTGGGCGATTTTATGAAGGACTGAAACCATTTGAACATGCTGGCAGGTGTCGTAGCCACCTGTCCGCTTACAAATTACATTTGAATTTGGCCGTTTGTCCGTATGGCCGTAAATGAACGTAATTTGAAAATGAAAAATAATTGAAAATAAATTTTGGATTGTTTCCAAAACAGCAAGTTAAGGGTCCTCTGGTAGGTTAGGAGGGCAGGAAGTTCTCCTAAAGTTTCAAAATGTCATGAAAACCGTTAATTGAAATTTTTTTCTAACCTAACCGAGTAAGCCGAAGGACTCAAAACAAAAAACGGGACAGTACGTTACTTTTGTGACCCGATTTAATTTCAAATTACGTCCATTTTTAGCTATAACGCGCATACGAGCGAAAAAGAGACGTAATTTCAAGATGACAGGTTGCTGAGCTTAACTTGTTCAAAGTCCACTCGCATTAGTGTAGTTCTGCCAACAAAATAACCAGCAGCACCGCCAGCTCCAGGAACAGACAGTGCCAGCAGCAGCAGCATTAGTGCTAACATAAGACTGATGCGTGCAGTAATTTGGATGAGAAGGGATGAGTGAGGTGGGAGATGGAGGGTGGCGGACCAACACACCTGGTGGAGGGATGAGGCTAGCCATGCTCCCAGCCATCCCTGCCCGCCCCGCCGTGCTCTAATGCCTGTCAAACCACACGAGCGCACGTTAGTGATCACCTCAAGGCTTATAATACACAAAAAATTGAATACAAACGTTCTCCCAATCATCTCTACATTCCCTTGGCATTAGTATTAATTTTATCTTTATTAAAACAATTTATCAACTATAATTAAGCGTATCAGTTTTAGTGCGAGCAAAAGTTCTGATATTTATTTTCTGCAGCTCCGCCAGACTGTGTATTAGTCACTTTGTTAGCTCTAAGACTGGCTAGAAATTGTGAATGTAATTAGCGACTCTACAGACTGCACGTACATTGGCTAGAAATTGTGAATGTAATTAGCGACTCTACAGACTGCACGTACATTGGCTAGAAATTGTGAATGTAATTAGCGACTCTACAGACTGCACGTACATTGGCTAGAAATTGTGAATGTAATTAGCGACTCTACAGACTGCACGTACATGTCCCTTCAACGCTGTCTGTATTACACATTACGATAACGTGTGTTAGTGTCATATGTTTATATCAGTAACAATTCAATTTAATTTCTTTATTATGCACCCCATACCCATCATGTGGGCGGTGGTGTAAAGGTTTACAGAGGCACACAATCGGTTCAGGAACTGTCACTATCGTGCTAGGGGGTTCAGGAACTGAACCCCCTAGTTCGTTAACTGCTGACCAGTTGGACCATTTTGCGTGTGGTGGTGGGGGGGGGGGGTCAGCGTGACGGATGCTATTTTCCAAAGTGCAAGTCCTGAAGTGCGAAGTTGAAACTAGTCTTGTTCACTGTATACATGACCGACACAGACACACGAGTGTGCAAATACTTGCAAGGTTACTTTAGGTTCCTGTGGCGGAGTGGTAAAACACTCGCCTGTGCGCTTCGCAAGCAATTTGGCCTGGGTTCGTATTCTGGCCGGGGAGGGTTGACTGGGAGCCAATCCTTAACTGTAGCCTCTGCTCGCCCAGCGGTGAATGGGTTGTTATGGTAGCTGTGGTGGGCTGCACGGTATTAAACGATTTGGCGGGTCGTATTCCGGGGAAAATTAGGATTAAGGACCTGCCCGAAACGCTATGAGTGCTAGTGGCTGTACAAGAATGTAAGAACTCTTGTATATAAATAAAACAAAAACTTGGTGACTTATACGGCTTCCCTCTCAGTGTATTACTGTGGCCAACCCACCAGGACTTCCTTCTCCCACCCCACTCCCACCCACGTCACCAGCTCCCACCCCACTCTAACCCACGTCACCAGCTCCCACCCCACTCTAACCCACGTCACCAGCTCCCACCCCACTCTCACCCACGTCACCAGCTCCCACCCCACTCTCACCCACGTCACCAGCTCCCACCCCACGCTCACCCACGTCACCTATAGTGTCACACAAGGATATTCATTGTGACACGCAGATGCAAAAGTACATATTTACTATGGAGAAAGTCAACTGTAGCAGCAAAGCAAGGGAGCTACTGTAGGACAAGAGAGACTACTTTAGTAACAGGTCAAGGGCGCTACTGCAGCACAGGTGGGACTATGGTAGAAGAGGGACTACTATATTAACAGATCATGGCAGCTACAGTAGGAGGAGGCCTGTTGAAATATTTACAGCTATAAATTTTAAGAGGCGGGGCGACGCAGGTGTGAGCAGTTCGTTTTTCAGTCTGTTCTTCTACAAGCTCCCCTTGGCCTTACAAAGATGGTGTCCACATTCACACTTGCCCTCACAAGGGCGGGGTTCGAAAGCCACCTTGGCCTCACAAGGGCGGGGTTCGAAAGCCATCTTGGCCTCACAAGGGTAGGGATCCTTGGCCTCACAAGGGTAGGGATCCTTGGCTTCACAAGGGTAGGGATCCTTGGCCTCACAAGGATAGGGATCCTTGGCCTCACAAGGATAGGGATCCTTGGCTTCACAAGGGTAGGGATCCTTGGCCTCACAAGGATAGGGATCCTTGGCTTCACAAGGGTAGGGATCCTTGGCCTCACAAGGATAGGGATCCTTGGCCTCACAAGGATAGGGATCCCTCACAAGGGTAGGGCCTCACAAGGATAGGGATCCTTGGCCTCACAAGGATAGGGATCCTTGGTCTCACAAGGGTAGGGATCCTTGGTCTCACAAGGGTAGGGATCCTTGGTCTCACAAGGGGTGGGGTTCCTTAGTTTCACAAAGATGGTGTGCACAAGTAGCTTTGGTGCGTGAGTGGGGCATTGACGACCTCGTAATTCCTCATTTGAAGCCTTCCATAACACTGGCTGACGCACTAGTTATAATTTGTCTACAACAGATTACATATATATTTTGGGTTCGTTGTGGGAGAGTGATGAGGGCGTGGTGGAGGTGTGGGAGGCTCTAGTCCTGTGTCTTACCTGTGTGTTGTGGGGCGACGACAGTGGCTAGGCTATCCTCACCGAGGGGCCCACCTTCACTTCCTAGGCTTCCTTCCCCCTCCCTCCCGATGTCGCCATCTTCTTATTATTCCCTTTAGTCCTCCTAATCCTCTTTTCCTTCCTTCTTATCCTCCCCCCTCCCATTCCTCTTCATCTATCCTTTCTCCTCCGGTACCTAAGCCTTGAGGCACAAATTATTTGATAGCATTCCACCAAACCTAAAGCCACACACGAACCTGAAATCAGCTGAGAAGCCTAATATTGATCTCGTGAGTATTAACGTAGATTACTGGCGAGTCTAACCATTTCCTGGCTGTTCTTTGCATGTATACTCATTTTTTTTAGTTTACCCACCAACTGGTCTCTCCGTATAGACACACAGGTTCCCTATATGTTGAGCATAAGATCATACCAATTAACTACAGAATAGTGTGTAAGGTAGCCATCATAACAAATCCAATAACAAGCTTAATGTTTAATTTTGATTCTAAATATCTGAAGAGAGTATGCATTGATGGCTGATTATATATAGCATATTGCTTATGGATAAATATATATATATATATATATATATATATATATATATATATATATATATATATAGCATATATGGATATATATATATATATATATATATATATATATATATATATATATATATATATTATTTATTTATTTATTTGTTTATGGGTTGATTATACATATAGTTTATGGATAGAGAAACGACAAGGTTTAATGAATATATACTAGATTAATATTTCATCATAAATTATAATATTTTGTGACAACTTGTCGTTTAAATTTATGTCTATGATATATGTAAACATATATACATGGTAAGTGGTGATATTTATTATTTAAATAATTTAATATAATACGAGAGTAAATGTGAAAGAATTCATTGCAGAAACCACATAACAAATTTTTTACTACCAACTTAAAACGTTAAGAAAGGTTTTGTATGTTTACTAGAAAAAAAATACGGTCTTCACAAGATATTTAAAGAATCTAAAAGACAAAACATAATTTTATATAAAAAAAACACATGATTGTGTTGTTACAGCAAAGTTACATACTTAAAATAATGGCCACGAGAATATGTCCGGGAGACACACATTTTTTTTACAATCTTAGGTAAACACAGCAATGTGCTGCTGCCCTAATCTATATGAAAGATTACACAGTGTAGATAAAAAACTAGCTATAAGTTAATCTAATATTCCCCATCTCACATGATGGTTAGTCATATATGGAATCAAGGCAGCAAATCTCAGCCTCAATACAAAAACAAATCAACTCTGACTAAAAATCAGGAGAGAACATGAAATGTAAGGCTTTAGCCTCCACTAGCAAAATTTGGTTACAACACAAGAATATCTTCCAATATTCCTGAGTGTAGGAAGTAATTACAGAGCTCAAAGTACATGATGGAGTTCCAGAGGCTGGAATGCATGGAAGTGAGGTGGTGATAATCCACTCCAGACTCAAACAGAAAACGGAACAGTACGTCACTTGTGAGTCGATTGCATTTCAAATTACGTCCAAATTTGGCCATAGCGCAAACCAAATACCAGCGAAAAGTGACGTTATTTTTAAGAGGACCGGTTGATGAGTATAATAGGCTGCACAATAAACTACCACTCACATGAGGAGTGTAGGCTGCACAATAAACGTCGCCGCCCGGGTCGTCAGTGTCGCCGCCATGATAGTCTAGAGAGAGAGTTCAAAGTGTGTGTGACCATCTCTTGACTCCTGACACTAACACGGAGGGTCAACTAATAATAGTGAACTAAACACTCAGCTCTTCATATGTTTAGTGTTTGCGTAACTAAAGGCGCTAGAGGGACTCGCTACCAACCCCTGGGTTATCTTGAGATGATTTCGGAGCTCAGCGTCCCCGCGGCCCGGTCATCGACCAGGCCAACTTTTTGTTACACACCTCCGAGGAAGTAGCCCGTAGCAGCAGTCTAACTCCCATGTACCTATTTACTACTAGGTGAAGAGGAGCATCAGGGTGTAAGAAACTGCCCCTTTGTTTCCGCTTCCGCTGGGGATCGAACCCGGAACCTTAGGACTACGAATCCCGAGCGCTGTCCATTGAACCGACAGGCTCCCGTTCTGGATCCTCAGTATCTCGCCTCCTTATCATAGCCAAGGCTCCAATAAGGCAGACTTCTCAATTAACTTAACACTTCCTGCTGCGTTATCAAGAGCAGACTTGTCTTGCAGCGTTATCTGCTGTGACCTAGAGCTGAGAGAGAGAGAGAGAGATAAGTGTGCACAGATGTCTGGGCTCACACCACCGCCGCCCACCGGTGCGTGGCCGAGTGGTAGTAGAGAGTACAATGATGGGAACAAACACCAAGATTATGACAGACTTTATTTAGTGATGACGTCTTGGCCGGTGATTTTTTAAATTTTGCCCCGAGGGGCGAGTTTATTGGGCAGCGCCACTCATCCTGTGAGTGGACACACCGCCATAGCAGCATGTACAACACTCCCCAATAGGAAGAAAACCCGCTGGGTTGTTCATCCTGTCACTTGTACCCAGACACAGCTGGGACTTGCTTAACTGTCTCAAGTGAACAGCTCCTCAAACAAGAAGATTAACATTTATCAACCCTTAAAAGCTTACGTTATCTTGCGGGTGCAAAATGGGGAAATCTTTTAAGAACAGTATCAATATTTGACAAATAGTGTTTTCTTAACTCAAACAATGTGGGGTTTATTATTCTACAGTTATTCCTAATGTCTCTCAGGTGTTCACATTCACGTAGATAGTGGTCAAGGCGGTGTCCATCACTCTCACCACAGATTCTGCAACTTCGCTGATATAAAGGGAACACGCACACGGCTCACGTCAGACACACCACACATTATGTTCAAATAAATAATTTAGCAACTGTTGGGGGTTGCAATGCAAGCAGTAAGTTGTTGATCAGTAATCGACAATGTTGACCCAACGTTACTCCAGCATGTTTGGCTCATTAGTAGAGAGAACGTAATAAATCCCTGAACTATATGTTTAACACATCTCTAACCCTGTCCATGGAGGACAGAAGAAAATGTATATATGCTGGTTAGCATTGTAAATGTCTGGCCACGTCTGTGGTAGAAAAATAATATTGAAACAAAAATCGCCAATTTTGCAGGCTGTGATTCCTGTAGTCTTTCTAATTACTTCGAGCCTCTCAGCTCGGGGTCCAGTGCGGTGTGAAGAACTTCCGCCTTTACGTTGTAAGCCTACGTAGCGTAGTGTACTTGACTCCTGGGGTCAAGTTTATGAAGACGGTCCTAGGGCTTCTCAGCTGTCTCCTAGTTCCGGCCGTCAGCTGGGATGCTTTAATTTTCCCTCTTCCCAGCACTGTCCTAGCCCCGGACGTCATCGGGGATGCTTCTTCCACCTTCCCCTTCCCAGCACTGTCCCAGCCATGGCGCGTCAGCTGTGATTTTTCCAAGGATGGATGCTGTCACCTAGGACCCAACAGCTGATGGTCTGACGCTACACTTGTTGCCACGTGTAGCTCATGCTGTATGTGGCCCCCCCCCTCCCTTCACCCAGCACCCCCCCCTTCCCTACCCCAGCACCCCCTCCCTACCCCTAGCACCCCTTCCCCCAACCACAACACCCCCCTCCCTACACTTGCACCCCCCCCCTCACACCGGGGCTCCACCGTGGTATCTATACCTAGACAAGCATAAGACGAAGTTAGAAAACGTTCATAGGAATGCTAGACTAGTCCCAGACCTGAGAGGTATGAGTTACGAGGAAAGACTACAGGAATTAAACCTAATGTCGCTGGAAGACAGAAGAGTTAGTGGAGACATCATTACCACATACAAAATTCTCAGTGAAATTGATAAGATAGATATGTGAAGACAGGCTATTTAGCACGGGAGGTAGGCGAACAAGAGGACACATGTGGAAACTGAGTACCCAAATGAGCCACAGATACGTTAGAAAGAACCTTTTCAGTGTCAGTAGTTAACAGGTGGAATGCATTAGGAAGTGATGTGGTGGAGGCTGACTCCATGCACAGTTTCAATTGTAGATATGATAGAGCCCAGTAGGCTCAGGAACCTGTACACCTGTTGACTGACAGTTGAGAGGCGGGACCAAAGAGCCAGAGTTTAACTCCCGCAAGCACCACCCTCCACACACACTCTACACCACTTACACCACCCTCTACACTACCTCTACAGGTTACACCAAATGATGGATGGTTGAGAGGCGGGACCAAAGAACCGAAGCTCAACCCACCCTCAAGCACATCCATGTGAGTACGGTCGTTAGTTTATTAATATCAGAAATCTGTGAACGCTCTAAAAATATATTTTGGTTCATACCTGAGGTAATCTGTATCTTATTATTATTATTATTATTATTATTATTATTATTATTATTATTATTATTATTATTATTATTATTATTATTATACACCCAAACCTACACATCTGTCTCTATATGAATTATCTGTAAAACGACAATGCTGCTTGTCTGTTTGAGGGTTGAGGCTGACGGTTGCTGTTAGCCTCACACAATTGTCCATGGTGAATTGTGACTGTATGGCGAGTGTCATACGGTGGTGGATATCGACCCCTATGGTCTATCATAGATAGACCATAGGTCTATTGATATGGTCTATGATTGATATCGACCCCTTACGCAGGATTGGCTCCTATTGCGACAACCAACGACTTTTATGAAGTCTAAAATGTATCCATAGAGTAAAGTGATTGTCCATAGAATGTTTACTACCATATTTCTCAGCTATTATCGCCAAGACTATATTGTTCCAAACACTCAGGTTTGATAGAGAAATTGCTGACTCCCAACGACCTCGTCGACCAGACTGTGCGACACAGTGGTTTCTAGGATCAGACTGGGTTACCGTTACCTGTGGCAGGTGGCTACATGTGACTGTGGCAGGTGGCTACAGGTGACTGTGGCAGGTGGCTACATGTGACTGTGGCAGGTGGCTACAGGTGATTGAGGCAGGTGGCTACAGGTGACGGATCTCCCAATCCTGAGCACTCCAGGTGCAAACTCTGTGAGCAGGAACTGCGGCATGATCTCCCACACTACCAGATACCCCGTTTAGTTGGCATAGAATGCCAGACCAAAAGAGAATGTCTGTCTGTCTGGTTTTGGAAGGCTGGAAGCCAGAGGCCTGGGGCCAGCCTCACACAGCTTAGCATGATGACACTGCCCACTGACCCACACCAGACAACTCCTCTTTATATCCACCCAAACATTATCGCCGTGTGTAGGATAAATGTACTCTGCCTGGGTTATATTGTAGTAGTTGCTAGTGTCTCTCATCCATTGTTGATGTGACGACTTATACTGAATTGTGTAACTAACTCATCAAGATTGTAACTTGCTTAGCTAAACGACTAAAACTCTCACCGGCTTGCTTGTAGCGTTGCTTGTGAATCAGTGCAGAGCTCTGCACCTTTGGTGTCTCCTTTAAGGAATCTTAACGAGTATTTAAGTGTCATTATAAATATGTGTAGAATTATAAACCCCACATATTGTTTGAGTTAGGAAAATACTATTTGTCAAATATAGATACTGGTCTTAAAAGGTTCCCTTATTTTGCACCCGCAGGGTAAAGTAAGTATTTAAGGGTTGACAAATGTTAATCTTTTTGTTTGAGAAGCTGTTCACTTGAGACAGTTAAGCAAATCCCAGCTGTGTCTGGGTACAAGTGACAGGATGAACAACCCAGCGGGTTTTCTTCCTGTTGGCGAGTGTTGTACATGCTGCTATGGAAGTTATGTCCACCCACTGCTATGTCCACTCACAGGACGAGTGGCGCTGCCCAATAAACTCGCCCCTCGGGGCAAAATTTAAATTTAATCTGCTTGTTACACCTGGCTGTTGTGGCCGTTGCTCAGTTGTTAGGGTTGCTTGGGGTGGTGGCGGCAGGGTCTGATGGAGAACCATCAAGAAATAACAATAACACTTCCCACTCATCACTGAGCCTCGACATAGTGCAACATTAATGTGCTTCCTGGAACGACCCACTAGAGCGTGATTACCAACTGTCATAACACGCCCTTCAAGATTAGAGATAATTAACTCAGTTCAACATTTTAGAACAGGTGGAGGCCTTGTGAAACCTGTTGTTGTTGTTGTTTATGATTCAGCTACTGGGAAAGACAAAGTTCCAAGTAGCACGGACTATGGTGAGCCCGTAGTGGACTTACCTGGCACAGGAGCGATGCTATAACTTTGTGAAACCTTAACAGGAGACAAGTTCAAGTTCAAGTATGTTTATTGAGACAAGAAAAAATACATCTCAAAGGGATAGAGTAGCTTAGGCTATATCTACCCCCCTTTTTGGCAGCCTGTACATGACAGGAGACTAGCTATAGAAGACTACTTTTTTTATCTTTAAGAAAATACAATATAAATCACATATACATAAGTTTTACAAGGCAATTATACATTACAATTCTTAGTGAACAAGTGTTTCAGTAGTACAGAACATGATCTTTAAAAAAAAAAAACCCTGAATGTTATACTTATTTACCTATAAACAATTTACCAAAAATGGAGAATAAATTTACATTAATATATAGAAGACTACTGATAAGGTGAGAAGAGTTGCGTAGCGCCGGAGCCACCTGTCCACTCCCACATCCGCCCAGGGGACGCCTCTGTGCTCACTGTGTATATAACCCGCTCTCAGTCCCGCCTCTCACACCACACCTGCTCCTCCTCCCACAGGTATATACGTCCTCCAGGTTCTCTGTGCCCACACACACTGCTCCACACCTGCTGCTGTTGACCTCCAGTTGTCTCCACAGTGTTGGGCTCCAGTGTTGACCTCCAGTTGTCTCCACAGTGTTGGGCTCCAGTGTTGACCTCCAGTTGTCTCCACAGTGTTGACCTCCAGTTGTGAAGGGCAGGAAGTAGACCACACTGGGTCTCACTACTGTGAAGGGCAGGAAGTACACGACACTGGGTCTCACTACTGTGAAGGGCAGGAAGTACACGACACTGGGTCTCACTACTGTGAAGGGCAGGAAGTACACGACACTGGGTCTCACTACTGTGAAGGGCAGGAAGTACACGACACTGGGTCTCACTACTGTGAAGGGCAGGAAGTACACGACACTGGGCCCCACTACTGTGAAGGGCAGGAAGTACACGACACTGGGTCCCACAACTGTGAAGGGCAGGAAGTACACGACACTGGGCCCCACTACTGTGAAGGGCAGGAAGTACACGACACTGGGCCCCACTACTGTGAAGGGCAGGAAGTACACGACACTGGGCCCCACTACTGTGAAGGGCAGGAAGTACACGACACTGGGCCCCACTACTGTGAAGGGCAGGAAGCACACGACACTGGGCCCCACTACTGTGAAGGGCAGGAAGTACACGACACTGGGCCCCACTACTGTGAAGGGCAGGAAGCACACGACACTGGGCCCCACTACTGTGAAGGGCAGGAAGTACACGACACTGGGCCTCACTACTGTGAAGGGTAGGAAGTACACGACACTGGGCCCCACTACTGTGAAGGGCAGGAAGTACACGACACAGGGCCTCACTACTGTGAAGGGTAGGAAGTACACGACACTGGGCCCCACTACTGTGAAGGGCAGGAAGTACACGACACTGGGTCCCACAACTGTGAAGGGCAGGAAGTACACGACACAGGGCCCCACTACTGTGAAGGTCAGGAAGTACACGACACAGGGCGCCACTACTGTGAAGGGCAGGACGTACACGACACAGGGTCCCACAACTGTGAAGGGCAGGAAGTACACGACACAGGGCGCCACTACTGTGAAGGTCAGGAAGTACACGACACAGGGCGCCACTACTGTGAAGGGCAGGACGTACACGACACTGGATTGTCTTCTTTCGATCGTTTATAATTTATTACAAGCCACGTCCCTTTAACTATAAATTGCAAACCCATTTCTCATAATTACGACTTGTATAATGTTTTATTTTAATGGTAAACGTAGCATGCAGTTCTATAGCATCTCAACCATTTTGTTTTTGATGGCCAAGTGTTTCAGGACAAACTATGCTATTCCCATCCTTGTTGGAGATTGATCAGATATCTCTTATTGTTATATTATTTCTAAATGCTGTTTCAGAGGCATCTGTATCTTTTATCTTCACCTTGCAACAGGCCACCATGCACAGGCTGCTCGTCCCCGCTGTCCTGCTGGCCGCCACGGTATCTGCCACCCTCTTCCAGGACTGTGGTGAGTCTCTTCCAGGACTGTGGTAAGTCTCTTCCAGGACTGTGGTGAGTCTCTTCCAGGACTGTGGTGAGTCTCTTCCAGGACTGTGGTGAGTCTCTTCCAAGATTGTGGTGAGTCTCTTCCAGGACTGTGGTGAGTCTCTTCCAGGACTGTGGTGAGTCACTGTGGTAAACTCACCATCAGCTTCAAGAGGATTGTTTCTTATTACAATCAGATGTCGTAACAGGGTCAGTGTCGTCTTATTAACCCTGTCTTCATCTAATTTTTGGGTTAAGTTCACACACATCTTAACCCGACTCTCCAACATTTAGCGACAAACCGAAGGGGATAAGGCTTTGTGTCCCAATAAAACCACGAAGCTCCTACCTTGAGGATTGAACTCTCTTAGTTAAAATTTCCTATGCTTTAGTCAGAAGATGAGCTTTATAAGCTACACTCACCTGTTTTCCGGGTCGTCGAAAAATTGGTGTGTCAGGAATAGCCTCTTCCAGGACATTTTATTTATTTGTTTATTTATATACATACAAGAAAGTACATGGGGGTTTATGGGAGAACATAGCATTGATGTTTTTACATTCTTATCAAGCCACTAACATGCATTGCGTTTCGGGCAGGTCCTTAATCTAACAGATAATTTTAAGTCTGTAATTTCTAGCAAAATTTAATGTTTTTTAACAGGAACAATGTAAGAAAATTTGACAAAGATTAGTAGGTACATTAAAGCAAGATTTGAGGGTTATCAACAGGTATATTATAGCATAATTACACGCGTTCTTAAGGGATACTTCAACTGAAAACGACATTAGTAGTTGTGTACATGCTCCTGAAGCCTCATGTGCTGTGACCATCATGCGTTTAAAACTGCATTAGGAAGGTACCCGACTGACAGGGAAGGTACCTGACTGACAGGGAAGGTACCCAACTGACAGGGAAGGTACCCAACTGACAGGGAAGGTACCCGACTGACATGGAAGGTACCCCACTGACAGAGAAGGTACCCGACTGACAATGGACCACAGGCACCATATTTCCTTACAAGCACGTTGGCAGTGGCACGGCAAGGCTCTGTTGTGAGCGTGTTGAAGTGTTATACTGACGTGAGGTGTTTGTGTGTGGTGCCACAGGGTCGGTGGGGTCCATGGTGAGCCTGGAAGTGGATGGCTGTGACGTGCCTCCCTGCGAAATCCACCGAGGCCACACCGTCAACACCAGCCTTCACTTCACTCCCAGTAAGTCTCCACTCTTCATCGCCGATATTACTATCTTAATTTATTGTAATGGAGAAACATGCACGAAACTCATCAACTAACTTGGCCGGGTTAATTCTTATTGCTGCTAAATACGATGAATAGATATTAACATTGCTTGACACAGCCTAATCCGCCACCACTATATAGACTAGTGGACACTACCTACACACACGCACCAGTGGACACCACCTACACACAGACTACGTACACAGAGGACACTTTACATCTTCCATTCTTCATAAACCATCCGAATTTCTACCCCCTGTGCCAAGGCCGGGACTCGGAGACGCTGACGGTGAAGGTGACGGCTAACGTCGGGGGTTTCGACCTCCCCTGGGAGGGGCTGGACCCTAACGCCTGCCACTTCACCCCCTGCCCTCTCGTCCAGGGCATCCCCGTCACCGCACAGATGCCCATCAAAGTCTTGGATGAGTATCCGGCGGTAAGTGTATGTATATGTAGCGCCTTGCACAGCTTGAGGGAGTTGAACTTCAACCCCTTTCTTGCTCCCCTGTTCCATTCCTGGCCCCCATGTTCTGTTTCTTGCCCTCCTGTTCCATTCCTGGCCCCCCATGTTCTGTTTCTTGCCCTCCTGTTTCATTCCTGGTCTCGATAATTCGTTACACTCCCTCATTTTTTTCAGGATTTTTGGCACACTACAGGATCTGTTTTTAACTGTTAAAGAGTCTAGCTTCTATAAACGGTTTGTTAAATCTAAGACTATCATTATTTGCACTTGATTCATTTCTTGTACCGAGATCAGTCTGTTTCTTCATTTCATGTCTGAGTGAGGGGACTCCATGATTGCCTGTGTTTTCCCAGTAAGTTCAGTTTTCCACTGTATTCAAGAAAGCTGTTTTTTAGCCTTATATTTCCTTGCTGTTCATGCCAGTCGTTTGCCCTCTTTCAAATTACCTTTCAAATAGTGGAACAGCGTAATTCAGTGGTTGCTGGCTCTTGGTGTAGTGTTCTTGTCTATTTCTCCTGTTACTGACCCAGTGGGGCACTATCTTTCCGAGTTGGTGAGGATTGCCAGCTACAACGTTCAAGAGGGCGAGTGAGCCTGGATTGCAGAGTCCAAAACCTAGTTGAGGTAATCAAGGCTTTATTGATCAAATAATTACAGTACAGTTACATCCAGCAATAATATCAAACCATATATATATATATATATATATATATATATATATATATATATATATATATATATATATATATATATATGAAAACTCACACCCCAGAAGTGACTCGAACCCATACTCCCAGAAGCAACGCAACTGGTATGTACAAGACGCCTTAACCCACTTGACCATCACGACCGGACAAAATGAGGTGATAGCCGAGGCTATTTGAACCACCCCACCGAGGCTATTTGAACCACCCCACCGTTGCCGGCGGTGGGGTGGTTCAAATAGCCTCGGCTATCACCTCATTTTGTCCGGTCGTGATGGTCAAGTGGGTTAAGGCGTCTTGTACATACCAGTTGCGTTGCTTCTGGGAGTATGGGTTCGAGTCACTTCTGGGGTGTGAGTTTTCAGTTGCATATTGTCCTGGGGACCATTCAGGCTTGTTCGCATATATATATATATATATATATATATATATATATATATATATATATATATATATATATATATATATATATATATATATATATATATATATATATATATATCTGGTGTTGACAAAGGTCAGTCTGGTGTTGACAAAGGCTTTAACAAGCCGAAACGTTCACCTCCTTTCATATTTCTCTGTGGATTTTCCGCATAAAATGATCAGTGTTTTGTGATCGTCAATTGCATATATATATATATATATATATATATATATATATATATATATATATATATGTCATACCTAGTAGCCAGAACGCACTTCTCAGCCTACTATGCAAGGCTCGATTTGCCTAATAAGCCAAGTTTTCAAGAATTAATATATTTTCTCAATTTTTTTTCTTATGAAATGATAAAGCAACCCATTTCATTATGTATGAGGTCAATTTTTTTTATTGGAGTTAAAATTAACGTAGATATATGGCCGAACCTAACCAACCCTACCTAACCTAACCTAACCTATCTTTATAGGTTAGGTTAGGTTAGGTAGCCCAAAAAGTTAGGTTAGTTAGGTTAGGTAGTCGAAAAACAATTAATTCATGAAAACTTGGCTTATTAGGCAAATCGGGCCTTGCATAGTAGGCTGAGAAGTGCGTTCTGGCTACTAGGTACGACATATATATATATATATATATATATATATATATATATATATATATATATATATATATATATATATACATACAGTTTAAGCACTTTCTATTCACTATAACGACAAGCAAATTACATATCAACTAAAGCTAGAACAAACAGAAAATAAGAGAGTACATTGCACCGACCTGTATACATGTGGGTCACAGCTGATCTGCCGCTCACCACAACAATAACAGTCAAGTGAGCATCCATCAGCTACAACAATAACTGCAGCCATGTCCAACCACTTGGGCTGGACGGTAGAGCTTCATGCAGGTCGGCGTTCAATCCCCGACCGTCCAAGTGGTTGGACACCATTCCTTCCGTCCTATCTCAAATCTCCTGACCCCTTTCAAGTGCTAGTCGTAATGGCTTGGCGCTTTCCCCTGATAATTTCCTCCCCCTCCTTCCAGCCAGGTACGATAGATACAACATTTTACTACACTAGTCATAATAGAAGATAGATCAAAGTGGTCCAGTCAAAATAAATAATTTCTGTTGTCGTGTTAAGCCACAGATTTATATCCACTTCGGTTTGATCTTCCGGTTGGAGAGTCAAATAAAGATCTGCAAACGTTGCCCAAAGGTCAAGTGAATATGGCGCCAATTACCTTGCTGTTTCGGTACCAGCGAAATTATTTAGCGATGAATCCTATGAATAACTCACTCTGAGTGAATATGAAGCCTAATCTGGCCAGCCTGCTGCCTCATATTCTTGTGGGCTCCATAACAATGGTGGTTGAGAGGGCGCTCTTTAACAACAGGAACAGTCCAATTCGCTCTCAAGAGTCTTTTCACGATGACTGATGTTCCCTAATATTATAATCTGTAATGGTATCCTAAATACAACCAGGATTGCCCTCTCTTTGCTGGCTATGTTGACCATGTTATAATTTTTGCCTTGTTATGCTAGTGTTAATTGACAGGTTGTACAAAACCGACCCAACTACTTTCGTTCCTCTTACATTGTCTGTCAGTCTCGAACAATTTGGTGCCTCTTAACTTGAATATATCATGTTTCCCTACCTGCTGCTGCCTTGTCTGTCACTCTGTGCTACAGTGTAGTTACTATGGTATAATGAGTCAGGTTTCACTCGATATGTACCTTAGTCTATGATCGGTATTATAGTTGAAGATTTACCATGGACCCTTACTTTGGTGCCTTATTTGTGACTGCTGGTGTTCGTGTAATGGAGCTTGAGGCTGTTTGCAGGGAAAAGTGAAGCTGTGGGAATAGTGAAGTTATGTGGGTTGTTAGCTAGTATGAACTGGAGTGAGACTGGGATTGGTAAATCTGTATTGTGGCGAGGGACGGGATTGCAGAATGAGTTAAGCTCAGTAGGGATGAGAAGGGAGATACAACCTTTGTCTAAAATTGAATGACACTTTTCATTTTTTCTCCCTGTGTCTCAGCTCTCGACCATTGTGACGATAAAGTTGGAGGACGTTACCGGTGAGCCTCAGGCGTGCATCGTCCTCCCAATCGTGTTAGTCTAGGGACACCACCATTGTCTCACAAGGACCTAACAATGGAAATTCATTGGCCCAACTACCACCATCCTGGATCCCCCGCCACCGCCACCACCCGGGAATCCAGTCCAACACCGCCCAGGGAAATCACTGTCATCTATTTAAAAATTCACCTGGTATTAATCAGCAGATAGGATGCAAGCCTACAAAATCCGGCGTTGTAAATCTGAGTGCCAGATGCAGCACAAGCCACAACAGTTACTTCTGCTGACTTGAATGATTTTGGTCAGCTAAGTATCCTGTGTAAGAACAATACTTTACAGCCTCTTATGTCTCTAATGTGTGAGGAACGTGTGTGGAACCTGGAAGACATTTCTGGCTACTTGTCACATATTAATCCTTTACTGTTTACTTACATATTATTTATGTGTCTCTTCCTTAATTCTAAGGTTGGAAATATATCATCAATAAAACTGTCTTGCCTCATAACCTCCAAAATGCGAAATTTAACATAAAAGTAAAGGACTCCATATTAAGTTTAGATAATAGGTAAGGTTATTATCAGGAGAAAACGCTAATACTCTGTTAATTAGTATTCTATAAAGAGAAACAAAATTCTTTTGATTTTTGTATTTAGTAACCTGAGGGGTATGTGGTGATCAACCACACACCACTACCACCTCACCAGGCAGTCTGCCCCACCCACCACCTCACCAGTCAACCTGCCCCACCCACCACCTCACCAGTCAACCTGCCCCACCCACCACCTCACCAGTCAACCTGCCCCACCCACCACCTCACCAGTCAACCTGCCCCACCCACCACCTCACCAGTCAACCTGCCCCACCCACCACCTCACCAATCAACCTGCCTCACCCACCACCTCACCAGGCAGGCGGTGTTACACAGTATCCCTGACTCTGTGATGATTACTAATTTACTCGCCAGGCAGGCTGACTCACCCCTCATTATCTAAATCCTAACTGAAACAACAGTGAAAACCAAGGCTGGTTTTGGTGTATAGAGAGTGCTTCACAACACGCGCCTCTTAAGTGGCCGGTGAGGGTCAGGCACGGTGGGAAGCCCCTGTAGTTCAACCCTCACCTTACCGTGGACTAGTAACGTCAGCTTCCTCATCAACGGCATCACTGCTGCGCCACCATTGGTCACCCTCGACCACAAGATGCGTGAGGTACCGTGGTTTTGTGGTTAAGATGATCTCACTCCTCTAGAACATTTGGATACTTTAGGTAACAGTAGTGTTCAATGATGTATAGAACATCTTCAACAAAGTAATTAGTGATCATATTGAATGAAATACTGTACCTTACACATTTCTGTAACATTTGCGAAAAGTTTTTGTTCAATATTCTTCAATTTGTTCGCATGCCTTCACACAATGATGCAAGTGTGTGCAGGGGCCTCGTAGCCTGGTGGATAGCGCGCAGGACTCGTAATTCTGTGGCGCGGGTTCGATTCCCGCACGAGGCAGAAGCAAATGGGCAAAGTTTCTTTCACCCTGAATGCCCCTGTTACCTAGCAGTAAATAGGTACCTGGGAGTTAGTCAGCTGTCACGGGCTGCTTCCTGGGGGTGGAGGCCTGGTCGAGGACCGGGCCGCGGGGACACTAAAGCCCCGAAATCATTTAAATTGACCGTTTTCTTGACGTTAGGAAACTTTAGGAGGATGGGCTTCTTAGACAGGCATTCGCACCAGGATAGAGAAGCAGTTGTTGCGATGTAGTTGGGACTACTGTAAGAAGCAATGTCGTGTGACACAGCTGCATCAGTGGCAGCTGAGAGCCGGGGACACCGATCCTGATGCCCCTGTTATTCTAGCAGTAAATAGGTACCTGAGAGTTAGTCAGCTGCTACGGGCTGCTTCCTGGGGAAATGTGTAACAAAAAGGAGACCTAGTCGAGGACCGGGCCGCGGGGACGGTAAGTCCCGAAATTATCTCAAGATAACCTCAAGAATTGTCTCTAGTGTGCAACCAGCATGTATACTTTAGTCCTAAGCTTAGTTCAGGAAATCAGTAAACTCAATGTACACTCACCGAGGCGCAGAATACACCTCTTAGTGTTAATATTCTATTTAGGAGCAAAATATCGCAATAGGCTTTTCAATGTACCATGGTCATACTTGCGTAGAGCTTCAATTTATTATTGATTTGTGCATTTCTACAGCACCGCTTGATTGTGTAGGAAAGGAGGGGAGAGAGTGAAAGAGAAAGGGAGGGACAGAGAGAGGGGGAATGGAGATGGAGAGAGAGAGAGGGAAAGAGAGGAGGGAGGGATTGAGGGCAGGGGAATGAGGATGTGGGGAGGGAGAACAGAGTTGGGCTCCCTTCCTGCCCCCCCCCCCCCCCCACACACACACGGGTGGTACGCGAACAATCTTTATCTTGAATATCTTGAGATGATTTCGGGGCTTTAGTGTCCCCGCGGCCCGGTCCTCGACCAGACCTCCACCCCCCAGGAAGCAATCCGTGAAAGCTGACTAACTCCCAGGTACCTATTTACTGCTAGGTAACAGGGGCATCAGAATGAAAGAAACTCTCCCCCATCGTTTCTCGCCGGCGCCCGGGATCGAACCCGGGACCACAGGATCACACGCCCAGTGTTCTGTCCGCTCAGCCACCGACAACAAGAGGACACAGGTGGAAACTCAGTACCCAAATGAGCCACAGGGACGTTAGAAGGAACTTTTTCAGTGTCAGTAGTTAACGGATGGAATGCATTAGGCAGTGATGTGGTGGAGGCTGACTCCATACACAGTTTCAAATGTAGATATGATTGTTGTTGTTAAAGATTCGCTACCTGGAACAAAAAGTTCCAAGTAACACGGACTATGGTGAGCCCGTAGATAGTTATATTTAGATATGATAGAGCCCAGTAGACTCAGGAACCTGTACACCTGTTGATTGACAGCTGAGAGGCGGGACCAAAGAGCCAGAGCTCGACCCCCGCAAACACAACTAATGATAATAAAAAAAATGGTGAACAAAATATAAGCTTAATGGGGGTAGCTCTTAAAACTGAATGAGATCAGAAACTTTTATGAATGAAGAGAAATGGAAACAAAATTGCGTGATAATTGGAATGGCAACTATTGCAACAGAACGACAGTTAGTAATTTTCATAGTAAGGATTAAAAACTGAAGAGGGCAATAAACATATGTATACAATTTTAGATTACATTTCTACAGTTATATGTACCAGTACAGGTTCAGTAATTAATGTTTAATAACAGCAAAACAGAGGTCGACATTTAGGAAGAAAGGTTGTATTCCATCCCGTACTGGACCACAAAAGGAGGAATATGAATCCTTATGAGCGCCATGGTATTATTACTTCATTATGATGGTTAATGGAAGTCCTGTGATGGGTCCCGTAGGCTGGGGCACCAGTGGACAACATTATCCTGATGGTGTGAGGGAGGGGGTGAGCACACCGGCCTGAACCAGATACCATCCCGCCATTTCCTCTTAACCTCCATCTCTTCTGCATCCCCAAAGTTGCCATATCATCAACAGTTAACTCTCATGTTATAATGCAGTTGGAGACACGTGTGTAACAGTGTGTCGGCCCATGGCGTCGTTAGGCCTCAGATTATCTTTGTTGTCATTTAGAAAGTTTTTGTATAAATAAAGTGAGATTTAAAGCGTTTTACTTCTTGTATCAATGTAACTTATACTTGCAAGCAAATGGTGATCATAAGTGCATTATTCCCAGCTGATGGTGAGGTGTTTACAGTTGGCAACCCGCCCGGTGCCCGGGGCGAGGTATGATAAGGGCAGCCCCGGGGCACGGAGGGCAAGTCGTGCCGCAGGGATGGTCAAGGCAGCAACCACTGTGCTCCTCTTGCTGGGGGTGTCCACCCTAGTGGCGGCCTCCGCTAAACACGCCGAGCACGGACACGACCTCCGCGATAACCACAGAGGCGGAAAAGGCCACTTCAACGCCCGTAAGTGCCTCCTTCCCTTCCCCTCCCCCTCATCCCTGCATGTTACCCGTGCCCCTGACAGTGACGGTTGGCCTCCCTGTCTTTTGTTAACGTGTCCTGCTTAGTATCACATTAATGTGTAGCTATTAGAGATGTGTCTCAGACCTTGTGGAGGGTGTCCGCGCCGCTCACTAAAACATGGTAGTCACCGTTACGCTCAAGAATAGAAGGCCCTCTACACGCAGGTAATTAAGGCCTTCCTCTCCAATAAAGAATGTCCATACCATTGATGATGGATGGTTGCCTTAAGGCCTAAATGTTGTTTATTTCAGTCACTAAAAAAACAAAGGTCTCCTATATGTAAAATGTGTGTGTAAATCACGTAGAAATTAACGTGATGATGAATAATGTGAAAATCTATGACCACTAAGGAAATTGAGACAGAAAATTGCTTAAGCTCTGTAGTTTAATTTAACACATCCAGATGATGGATGTATATAGGTAGGGAAAGTCAGGTTACGTGGGAAGGAAAAGTCTTTATAGTTAACTTTATGAGCATTTAGAAAAGAGGAAGCCGCAGAAGGCCTATTTACCCATGGCAGGTACCGGAGGTATGTCTCCCCCCCCCCCTCTGGGAAATAGTGCATAATAATCGTATTAGATTCCACGAGGTTAGAAATAGCCTAAACTACTCTATCCTTTCGAGGTGTATTTTATTATTTCAATAAACTTACTTTAACTTTATTTAAATTGTTTTTTAATTGATCAATTAAAAGTGAGTTCGAACTATTTAAACTATTACTAAAATTCATGCTACATGGCGTTGTAATTTGTATTAAAGCAGATTTAACAATATTTTATATTTAAAATGCATTTACAATTTGTAAAAGAGGATCGCCCTGGGACGTAATATCCGGGTTTTGGGGGAGGAGGGTGGGGAAGTCTGCCGAAAGCATTGAATAAAGCAGACAGCAGAACATGCAAGCATGATCAGTGATAAAATATAGTCAAAGTGCAGCGTATATAATAGACAATAAACTGAAAAGCAAGATTAAAAGTAAGCATTGTAGTTAGCTATGGAAAAAGATTGATAATGACATCACTAGGTAAAATGAATAATATCGGGACACGAGAATATTCAGACTAGTGTTTAACAGCGGACTACACTCAGGTCAGATGGTGGACGGATATGAGGCAAGAGTTGAAGTGGCGGATCTGCTTGTTGAGCGCTCATTAGCCAGCCTCGCACTGCAGTCCACTATACCCTCACTTTAAATGCCTATAATATAATCGTCTCTTATTAACTGTACACCTATTCCGTTATCTATCCCACCCAACCTATGCTCCTCGAGCTCCCCCCCCCCCGCCACAGTGTACCAACAGTCATAACTCTTAATCAGTCATTGGAGGCTCACATTAACCGCGTAACATCAGCGGTGTGTGCTAAGCTGGTGAACGTTCGTGTACCATTCAGGAACTTCAACACAGAAGCTTTAAAGACATTATACTGACTATGCTAGCCCAGCGCTAAATTTAGTTGCTCCAGTGTGAAATCTCCAATTTAAACAGACGAAGCAAAACTCTGATTTTATATAAATTCATATTTATAAATTCATAAATTTATATATAATTCAGGCTCTGAGAATGAACCGGGAGGTTGGAGAGGCTTTGAGTCTGATATTGATAGGAAGTGACGTCGTGGAATGTCCTTGAGAAGTCCCATTCACTGGCGCCTAATCATGTTCGAAAGCCTGGAGGTGAAAGCCAATAAAGAAGCGGGAGCCGTTCAATTCTAGCTAGGTAAATTTGGTGGCAGCTCCTGGCTTATTGTCTCTGAGGTTAAAAAAAAAGTGAAAACTGCTGCTGATATGGTCAGGAAATAAATGCCTTTCAACCTTAAGTTGATTTTACTTTTGTCTGTGAAAGACTAAGCAGACTACCAGCAACTCGGTGGACGGACCCGAATGAGGAACGAAGCACCACAGAAGACTGATTAATGCTGCCTTGCAGTGCAAGTGGCCGTTATCATGGGGCATCCTGGTGGTCCTGGAGAGGCGCCCGATGCTGACATGGACCCAGGTGGTCGGCACGTCATCCTGGGGCAGCCTGGTGGTCCTGGGAAAGTGACTGGTACTGACATGGTCACAAAAAAACATTTTGGTCAATATTTCAGGCTGTGACTAAGATTTCTGAGCAGCACAATCAAAGTAAAGTGTGTAGTGACAGTGAACAATTGTTGTTGATCAAACCACACACTAGAAATTGAGGCGATGACGTTTCGGTCTGTCCAGGACCACTATAAAGTCGATTGTGTCAAGACCATTATCAAGTTGAACACAATAGACTTGATAATGGTCCAGGACGGACCGAAACATCGTCGTCTCTTCAAATTCTAGTGTGTGATTGGGTCAACATTTTTCAGCCACGTTATTGTGACTTTTATCTGAACAATTGTTAACGAATAGTGAGGAATTCTTCGTGTTACAGCAGTATAACACGAAAAATGTGAACACAACAATCACCTGTGACCACATGGGATTGTAAACTTCAAACAGTGAAGTGCAAACGCATTGATGATGTGCAGTGACATTTCTAGTAATTTTCAAGCTGATAAACTAACACTGGTGGACATTGGAAATTGTGACATAGCCAGATATAAGATCAATAGGAAACAACAAAGTTATAATAGATTAACACCAGTAATTTAGTTTGTCAATAGATGAACAGTTTAACGGCGAGGTGAGGACGAAAGAATAAAACTATACCAGAAGACTCGCAGAGGAGTGTCTTGTGATTAGTTCCTTCTTTTGTCTTAGTGATTAGATTGGCTTTTGTCTTGCTTGTGACTGACTCTCATTTTTGGGAGACAAGTTTTCCTAGGGCGCAGAGTTTACTTTCCGTAATTGAAGGTGGCGAGGGAATAGGCGCCGTTGATTTGGATGCTCGGTGGAGTGTAAATTTCCCAAATCGTGTTCGAAAACTTTACAAAGTGAGTGTGGTATACTATGTAGACTAAGGCAGAAATCTACCGACTTGGTGTATGCTTAACTAACTTGTCAATGTACATAGATGATAAAGCAGGCGCAGTAATTAGGAGTAGTGTTGAGAAGCCTCATAGAGCGGACATTTAATAATGAAATGTGATTAAGAAAGTTTTGACCATTAATAACTTCATCTCCTTCTCTCCACCAATCAGAGGTGATGTGTGCCAACTCGACGAACCAACCAGAGTGCCACCGTAGGGTAAGTACAATAGACAAACTGAGAGGCGCTTACCTTACACTCCTTCAAACACTCCTTAGCTTACCTTACACTCCAGCAACACCCCACCACTTACCTCACACACCAGCAACACCCCACCACTTACCTCACACACCAGCAACACCCCACCACTTACCTCACACACCAGCAACACCCCACCACTTACCTCACACACCAGCAACACCCCACCACTTACCTCACACACCAGCAACACCCCACCACTTACCTCACACACCAGCAACACCCCACCACTTACCTCACACACCAGCAACACCCCACCACTTACCTTGCACCTGCCCACAGGTGGAGGTGTGCCGGGCCGTCCACCGGAGGTCGTGGCAGAGAGGCAAGACTCAGGAGGACCTCACCAGCTGTGCTCGCCAGCTCAAAATTCGGCTCCCTGAAGGTAAGTCTCGGCTACTGTGACTTTGTACGCCCCCGTCCCCTCACTCCATGGTCAACACTCACTCTTCTCAACACTCACCCTGTGCTCCTCTCCACAGACACGGAGAACAACCACCAACACTTCCGTAACTGGGCACGGGAGAACCAGGAGCTGAAGCGACAACTGTTTGCCTGCATTCATCAGGGCATGGTGAGTGTGAGAGTTTTTGAGAGAATTTGTGGAATAAATTAAAATTGGTATAAGGAATTTTAGCTCGGAAAATTTCTAAGAACTTTCTTTATTCTTTAACCTTTATTCCTGTCGTGATATTCAACTAGGTCGCCTGAGGAAGGACTTGCTTAGCTAACACACCAGTGTAGTAAACAGCTCATTCCTCACTTTGGGACCATGTATGAACAATTGACTAGGCGCGAGCAAACGCCGAGACCCCAATGAAAATTGAAATCCCCCCCACTTAGGCCGCCGACCTTCGCCAATCGCCGAAGCGAATCTAACGAGTAGGTCACGGGCTCTCACAACAATAATTTATTGTTGTGTGGTGCCGTATATTTGATCCAAAGCTCAGAAAGTGAGTCTCAATTTTAGTCGAGTGTGAAGAACATTTGCATAACAATAATAATGTGTGGGGGTGTAACGAAAAGACAGTGTTAACCATAACAACTTAGTTTATTCAATAAAGTACTAACTACTACAACAAAACAAAGAAATGTCAATGACGTTACTCGAAATCCTTCCTGTGACACTATCAATGACAGCTAGACACCAGCCCCTCGGACTGCATAATGAACTAACTCGAACATAAGCGTGACCACAGAGGAATCAACAAGCAAGCAAGAACTAACAGATCTATAATCACAATTACAACAAATGACACAGTAGGTTCTGAAACATGTCTCCAGTAACCTCCTAACTGTTCTACGCCTCAGTGCAGTCTACTCCTGCAACAGCGGTTGCAATGCAATCAAATCAGTAGTCTTCCAATGACAACAATAACTAATGGGTTCACTGGCAACTCCAGCACCCTTCCTCAAATTAATCCTTACGTTAACACTCCGTCCCACGGACGATCAACAATCCATGACAATTGATTTACGTTAATAACACAATAACATTTACGTTAATAACAAGGTAACATTTACGTTAAATTAACAACTCTTACAACTGTCACTAGTAACGCGGAAATCAAACAACACTCTACCCGTCGAGCATTCAGTGAGAAAATCCCATTAATCCCTGTACTTCCAGACAGCTGATTAATCTCTTACTAGTTACGTTAATTTACGTTACTCGGTTACTAATCACTCAGCGATGGTAAACTCTGATTTGCAATGTCCAAAGTGCTAAGAGAACGGTAATCACTCGTGATTACCTTAGAGTAATTAATTACTATCCTCAAGATCAATAATTAAACAATTAAAATACGCAACCTTTCACACTGGCTCAGCAATTTACATTAAGGTATGAATTCCGTCTAAGCCTTCCATACTCAGTCCAATTCAGGCGACTAATAACAGTAATTAGCCCCACGTTTACGTTATTCTAAAATGACGCTACTCCTCTCACGAGTCAATCAAGTGCCGGTACTTCCGGGTAGATAACGACGTTACGTTAATGGAACAATGTAGCCTTCGTGTGAGTCGATCAAACAAGGATCGAGATTAATTACTTTGACTTCCTGAAACACGTCAATTACCCGGCCCACTGACCGTTAATTACGACAGACAATACTCTAATTCTTATCTGGCTGATGGCTAGGCTCCTCGAGACTACCGTAGCTGCTTACAGGAAAGTAAATTAACCCAAACGCATTCTACGTTACTCAAATTGTCAAAGAACAAATTCTCTTAAAGCAATGGGCGTTCCCTTGGTTACGTTATATTAATTGCCTCGCAATCACCTCACTGAATACTGGACTTCGATGTCCTACCAGATAACCAGGAGAATATATTTGTATCCAAGTACTCGTCTACAGCCGAGTTCCCCCACGACAATGACAAATCACACTAACAAATCACAGTGATTTACGTTACAGTCCGGTTGCAATGACAATACTGCAGAACCTAGTAAAATAACCTACAGGACATGAACCCTCTAGAACACTGCCCCACAATGGTTTTACTGGACTGCAATCACATCAGGTGATTGCTCAACACTAGCAACAATCACTATCAAATAACAACCCCCTTTGCAATAACACACACGGCAAGTACTCCAATTTCCAAATATTAGGATACTGCACACACTTACTTACTTACTGCTGCAAATGACCCCTAGAACATAGGTCAATATATTGCAATCACCACACAGTAAATAACACATTAACACTGGGCACCGTGACACTACGATTATATATATATATATAATTACCGCTGACACATGTAGCCTACAGCTATCAAACGTTATTGGGAACACTAAGGAGAATCTCACACTCCTTAAATCACATGGGTGAGTGATTTATCGGTCACGCATGCCGATAAACACTCGAGAGTTACGTTACTCGACAGAGCGGGGGCGGTCTCTCTAGACGGCCTCGTCACTCACCAAACCTCACCAAAATTACGTTAATTAATACTGCAACCACAATATATATATTTATATAAATCACACTTGTCACGGCCCTGGGAACACTACAAGAAATTTAAGCCACACTGTGGCACACTCCACAATAATCATTGCCAGGAATCACTGGCGTTACACATACCTGAGCGCTCAGTGTTGGAATTCCACACCTGCAAGACCACACATGGAAATGATATCACTCCGTCCCACGGACGATCAAAAATGATTACCACAATGAAATAAAAGAATTTATTACATGGACACCTCTCCGTCCTTGGCTAAACTATGTATCCTGTTCCCCGTGTGTACCCACACACACACACACACACCCTGTACGTCTGTGTACACTTAAGTCCCTCTGGACTGACAAGATGACAACACAGGTGATTAATCTCCTCGCCCACAATTCACTCCACCTGAACAGGTGCTGCGTGACAATGTGACGGAACACTTGACCTCGAATTCAAGCTTTAGAGACTACTAATCACCAAAATACACACATAGGTACTTACTCATTCACACTGCCGGCTTTACACACCATTCCCATACATCAGGCACCCCGCTATAGGTGGCTGGATCGCTCCGGGTGGCGTAGGCGGCGGTAGTACCTGACCGTAGTACAAACACGGGAAATTGCCTTAACACTGACACAAATTTCCCCGTTCCCATCGACTGCTACAGAGCACTAGCAAGTCTAATCATCACTGATATGGGATCTACGAGTCTGTTGCTGCTCGTATGCACATTCCCCCACGATCCCAGATCACTGTACCTCTACCCCCTGCATACAATAATGTCTTAAACCCCTCCAAGCGACGACTTCGGCCGGATTCTGTGACGACCGATGTCGTAGGTGAAGCAGGAAGCATCAGCAGTTGTAGTCCAGCCACCACGACGCCCTATACATCAATTTGGCCGAATTGAGTACAGGAACGTCATGACAAGGTGGCGGCTGAGTTCAGAATGATGCTCACACCGGCTCTTCCCGCGTCCTTCTCGAAATAACCAATGAGAGGAAGGCATACAGCGGCCTACCCCTCTCATCCAATCAGCGACGGTGTAGCATAGCCCCTAGGGCAGCTCCAAGATGGCCGACCAACATGGCGGCTCAAGATGTTTACTAAGATGGCGGCTGTCTCCATGACAACCACTCAAGTGGCCAGCGAGCGTGGGGCCCCACATGTCTACCCACCCCACGCCTGCGGCCTAGGCGTTCGCGCGCAAAGTTGTCTGGCTCCATGCCATACAATGAGATGATGCTATCAGCTCTAGCACTGTCCACAGACATGCCACCCCGGCCAGGGTAACATTTATGGACTGCTGATGACTGGGGCTCTCACATGAGCCCAAACACTAGATGTTTCGGTTGCTGGTACAAAACTTAAGTCCGCCCACTTAACAAGTGCACTTAACAAGTGTACTGGCTCCCACAGGCATAAGAGCACTATTGTAAGTGAGCTGGTGAACCACCCCCTCACAGTGAGTAGTGCCCCCCAGTGTCAGTAGTGCCCCAGGGCATGGTGAGTAGTGCCCCCCAGTGTCAGTAGTGCCCCAGGGCATGGTGAGTAGTGCCCCCAGTGTCAGTAGTGCCCCAGGGCATGGTGAGTAGTGCCCCCAGTGTCAGTAGTGCCCCAGGGCATGGTGAGTAGTGCCCCCAGGGTCAGTAGTGCCCCAGGGCATGGTGAGTAGTGCCCCCAGTGTCAGTAGTGCCCCAGGGCATGGTGAGTAGTGCCCCCAGTGTCAGTAGTGCCCCAGGGCATGGTGAGTAGTGCCCCCAGTGTCAGTAGTGCCCCAGGGCATGGTGAGTAGTGCCCCAGGGCATGGTGAGTAGTGCCCCCAGTGTCAGTAGTGCCCCAGGGCATGGTGAGTAGTGCCCCCCAGTGTCAGTAGTGCCCCAGGGCATGGTGAGTAGTGCCCCCAGTGTCAGTAGTGCCCCAGGGCATGGTGAGTAGTGCCCCCAGTGTCAGTAGTGCCCCAGGGCATGGTGAGTAGTGCCCCCAGTGTCAGTAGTACCCCAGGGCATGGTGAGGCAGGCCCCAAAACCTCTGAAGGAAGTATAGTTGGAAGACCCCATAACCCCCACAAATATAAGAAAATCCCCTCTAAACTCACTCCCACAAATACAATAACAGTGGAGCAAGCCTAATGTTGCTCACAGTAAGAATAGTTATTAAGCATAAAGCCTAAAGTTGCTCACAGTAACAATAATTATTAAGGCTAAAGCCTAAAGTTGCTCACAGTAAGAATAGTTATTAAGACTAAAGCTGCTCACAGTAAGAATAATTATTAAGCCTAAAGCTGCTCACAGTAAGAATAGTTATTAAGCCTAAAGCTGCTCACAGTAAGAATAGTTATTAAGCCTAAAGCTGCTCACAGTAAGAATAATTATTAAGGCTAAAGCCTAAAGTTGCTCACAGTAAGAATAGTTATTAAGGCTAAAGTTGCTCACAGTAAGAATAATTATTAAGGCTAAAGTTGCTCACAGTAAGAATAATTATTAAGCCTAAAGTTGCTCACAGTAAGAATAATAATTAAGCCTAAAGTTGCTCACAGTAAGAACAGCTATTAAAGTACCTCGGTGGCCAATATTATAAACAGATTACATAAATTTGTATTTATCTCTATATAATAAAATACAATATAAATCATACATACATAACTTTTACAAGGCAATACTACAGTAGTATAATTCTCAGTATATATGTATACTACATTATATATACAGTAGTATAATTCTCAGTTAAACAAGTGTTTCATATTATCAGAGATTTTATTATTATTATTTTCTACCACAGACGTGGCCACACATTTACAATGCTAACCATCATATATACATTTCCTTCTGTCCTCCATGGACAGGGTGAGAGATTTGTCAAACATACAGTTCAGGGATTTATTAAACAATCAACTACAGAAGGTGATTGTAGTGCTTTTATAATGCTAGGCTAAGCGAGGGGTCAGACAGTCTCCCACGGGTCAGCACAATAACCGCCCGTTGTCCACTTCCGTTAGAATTGGAATCCGCGTTCCCACGGTGCCTGAGTGTAGCCCAACTGATCATACAGTAACAGTCGCCTTAGACTCATTTGATCACAAATTCATACATTGTTTCACCATATATATATATATATATATATATATATATATATATATATATATATATATATATATATATATATATATATATATATATATATATATATATATATGTAACCTTCTGACTGTTTTTATTCACTAATTTGCACATTATCTTTTCTTAAGGAGGCATTAGATTAGTTTATTAAAAGTTGTTCAGTGTCAACCAATATTCATTCTATGACACATTTCTGACACATTAGCATATAATAAGAGATCAGAAGGTGGGGATTTTCCAAAACATGTTTAGTTTTCCTAATACAAATAGTCAAAGTTCCCCCCTTCCCCCCCCCCCCCAAAAAAAAGTATGCAAATGTAATATGTTTATTGCTATTATAAAATCAATAAATGAACTTAGGAAAAAACGCTGACTACAGATTTTAGAGACATACACTCTACATATAAGGTGTAAGTTTCATGTAAATTGAATAAAAAATGAAAGTTATATGAACGTTTATGTTACTTGAAATAATTAACCAATGGTGCCCATGGCTCTTCCATATTAACCATTTGGACTATGACTCCACAACCTGGATGCTAAACCGCGGCCAGGTATAGCAGCCAGTATATGTGATGGCAGCCTAACCGGGCCCGTTGGATAGTGTTTATCCTCCCAAATCCCACAAATCCTTCACAAATAATCGTGTCCCTGTCAGCGCCGCAATCCCCTCCCCTCCCCCACCAGACGTCACTCAACGGATAATAATTAAATTTTACTCTTTGTTCTTTGTTTTACTCTCTCAGCGCCTTGTATTATTACAACTAGACCATCCTGGCCATAACAGTACCAACAGAGCCACAAGGTCCAGTAGTACCAACAGAGCCACGAGGTCCAGTAGTAACACCACTCACCAGAGCTCCCCCTATCATTCACCTGGGCTCAGGAACTCACCAGAGCTCCCCCTATCATTCACCTGGGCTCAGGAACTCACCAGAGCTCCCCCTATCATTCACCTGGGCTCAGGAACTCACCAGAGCTCCCCCTATCATTCACCTGGCCTCAGAAACTCACCAGGGCTTCCCCTGTCATTCACCTGGCCTCAGGAACTCACCAGGGCTTCCCCTGTCATTCACCTGGCCTCAGGAACTCACCAGGGCTTCCCCTGTCATTCACCTGGCCTCAGGAACTCACCAGAGCTCCCCCTATCATTCACCTGGGCTCAGTGACTCACCAAGCTTCCCTCACCCTACAGTTCCACAGTGATGGGAGCATCAACAGGCCAGCCGTAGTGGAAAAGATGATGGCGATGATGTCTGGTGAGGACGAGCCCCAGCTGCTGCAGGAGCTCCTCGACCGCGTCAACACTTGTCCCGAGTCCTCTAGTGTAAGTTGACACACACACACACACACACACACACACACACACACACACACACACACACACACACACACACACACACACACACACACACACACACACACACACACACACACACACATGCACACACACATGCACACACACATGCACACACACATGCACACACACACACACACACACACACACACACACACACACACACACACAGGGGCCGGTGGCTGAGCGGACAGCACGCTGGACGCGTGGTCCTGTGGTCCCGGGTTCGATTCCGGGCGCCGGCGAGAAGCAAGGGGCAAAGTTTCTTTCACCCTGATGCCCCTGTTACCTAGCAGTAAATAGGTGCCTGGGAGTTAGTTAGCTGTCACGGGCTGCTTCCTGGGGGATGTGTGTATATGTGTATTAGAGAGAAATATATGTAGTAGACAATAGATTAAAATAGATTGGTCAAAAGGCGGGGTCGAAGAGCTAATAGTTCGATTCTGAAGGCTCAAATAGTAAATATTAACATTGATAAGTGGTATTGTGTTTTCTTACTCATTAAAGAGAACGCGCACTAACACCTGGCTCTTTTCCCTCCTACAGCGGCGGGACTTCTACAGGTGTGTCTTCCTCGGGTGTGCCACACCTTGAGGCCCTCTCGCATAGTCCTTCAGGAGGGGAGGGCGGCGGCGGCGGGTCTCTCAGGACCTTCAGCACTCCCAGCGGAGCCCAAGACGACACCAGAGACGTGCCCTTCCCTCGCTCTCCCCTAGGGGCGTGTGTGGGTGTAAATATTGGATACCTTGCAAGGAGGTGGCCTGAGTCCGGTAAGATCAAGCAGGAGCTGGAGAAGGTCTGACTCGTCTCGTCAACGCCAGAGAGCTCCGAAGGCAGCAGATGGCTTACCCACTGATATATAATAAGGAAAACACTCCCGTAGAATGTGTCTTAAGTTATAACAAATCAGAAGAGAGAGAATATTAAGCTTGTGCAAGTCTTGCAGCACTCAGCAGTGGTTCAAGTTCAAGTATGTTTATTGAGACAAGGAAAAATGCATCTCAAAGGGATAAAGCTGCTTAGGCTATTTTTAACCCCCTTTGCAGTGGTACGGGCAGCTGGGAGGAGCCTCGCGCGTCCAACACCACTGTCACCGGAGGGAACTGTGACCTTGTGTGACAACAGTGACCTTGTGTGACAACTGCTTACCTTGTGTGACAACTGCTTACCTTGTGACAACTGCTACCTTGTTGACAACTGCTTACATTGTGTGACAACTGCTTACCTTGTGTGACAACTGCTTACCTTGTGTGACAACTGCTTACCTTGTGTGACAACTGCTTACCTTGTGTGACAACTGCTTACCTTGTGTGACAACTGCTTACCTTGTGTGACAACTGTTACCTTGTGTGGCAACTGCTTACCTTGTGTGACAACTGCTTACCTTGTGTGACAACAGTGACCTTGTGTGACAACTGCTTACCTTGTGTGACAACAGTGACCTTGTGTGACAACTGCTTACCTTGTGTGACAACAGTGACCTTGTGTGACAACTGCTTACCTTGTGTGACAACGGCTTACCTTGTGTGACAACGGCTTGCCTTGTGTGACAACGGCTTACCTTGTGTGACAACGGCTTACCTTGTGTGACAACGGCTTACCTTGTGTGACAACGGCTTACCTTGTGACAACGGCTTACCTTGTGTGACAACTGCTTACCTTGTGTAACAACGGCTTACCTTGTGTGACAACGGCTTACCTTGTGACAACGGCTTACCTTGTGTGACAACTGCTTACCTTGTGTGACAACGGCTTACCTTGTGTGACAACGGCTTACCTTGTGTGACAACGGCTTACCTTGTGACAACGGCTTACCTTGTGTGACAACTGCTTACCTTGTGTGACAACGGCTTACCTTGTGTGACAACGGCTTACCTTGTGTGACAACTGCTTACCTTGTGTGACAACAGTGACCTTGTGTGACAACTGCTTACCTTGTGTGACAACTGCTTACCTTGTGTGACAACTGCTTACCTTGTGTACAACGGCTACCTTGTGTGACAACGGCTTACCTTGTGTGACAACGGCTTACCTTGTGTGACAACTGCTTACCTTGTGTGACAACAGTGACCTTGTGTGACAACTGCTTACCTTGTGTGACAACTGCTTACCTTGTGTGACAACTGCTTACCTTGTGTAACAACGGCTTACCTTGTGTGACAACGGCTTACCTTGTGTGACAACGGCTTACCTTGTGTGACAACTGCATACCTTGTGTGACAACTGCTTACCTTGTGTGACAACTGCTTACCTTGTGTGACAACGGCTTACCTTGTGTGACAACTGCTTACCTTGTGTAACAACTGCTTACCTTGTGTGACAACTGCTTACCTTGTGTGACAACTGCTTACCTTGTGTGACAACTGCTTACCTTGTGTGACAACAGTGACGTTGTGTGACAACTACTTACCTTGTGTGACAACTGTGACCTTGTGTAACAAATGCTTACCTTGTGTGACAACTGCTTACCTTGTGTAACAACTGCTTACCTTGTGTGACAACTGCTTACCTTGTGTGACAACTGCATACCTTGTGTGACAACTGCTTACCTTGTGTGACAACTGCTTACCTTGTGTGACAACTGCTTACCTTGTGTGACAACTGCTTACCTTGTGTGACAACTGCATACCTTGTGTGACAACTGCATACCTTGTGTGACAACTGCATACCTTGTGTGACAACTACTCACCTTGTGTGACAACTGCATACCTTGTGTGACAACTACTCACCTTGTGTGACAACTACTCACCTTGTGTGACAACTGCATACCTTGTGTGACAACTACTCACCTTGTGTGACAACTACTCACCTTGTGTGACAACTGCATACCTTGTGTGACAACTACTCACCTTGTGTGACAACTACTCACCTTGTGTGACAACCATAACCTCGTGTACCAACCATGACCTCGTGTGACAACTGTGACCTTGTGTAACAACCTTCCGCTAACCCAAATAACACAACTATACGGAATTGAATAAACTGAGGAAATATTCCCACTAAAATTATAGGCTGTTCTGGGAGACACACGGAAACAAAGGGCAGAAACGTAGGCAGCTTCGTGGGTTGGGTTTGTGTATACATTTGTATGATGTATAACCTGCCCATCCTCCTGTTGTGGTTTATATATATATATATATATATATATATATATATATATATATATATATATATATATATATATATATATATATATATATATATATATATATATATATATATATATATATATATATATATATATATATATATATATATATATATATATATATATATATATATATATATATATATATATATATATATATATATATATATATATATATATATATATATATATATATACATATATGGCACTGTTGTGTTGGACAAACCGGAAAACTATTTTTTTTACTTGTGTTGCAAAGATGAACTAACCTAACCTTCATAGGCCTAATATACGATATCTGACGCCTAATATAGTACATATGTGTACTATACTAGGCCTAGGAATATTTGTGTGTGTTTTTTTAGCTTTATATTTTTTTTTTTAGAATTCCTTACTAGTCAGTATACTACTATTTAAAAGTTAAGTACGTACTAATTCGTGACTATTGACGTCGTCAAAATAGGTACTGTCTAAACAAGAGGATGGGTTGCTATGCATTGCAAGCTTGTGCAGTGTGAATATGGACAGCATTATTTTATGTTTTCTCATTCAAAAAAAAAACAAGTACAATATTTGTTTCTGTTCATACCTCGCCCCACCATTTAGTCCCTGGCCGTCTATTGCAATAGCTGCCGGCCCTTTTATTGTAATGATTTGTATATGTTGCTACAAATAAAGTTTCTGAATCTTATACCTGCCTTTGAAACGGTTTAGTGTTAACTTCGACTAACTTCCCCTTTCAGTTAATTCCATCAGCTCAACGCTCTTATACGGAGGAAGTGCTTTCTTGCACCGCTATGTCTCAGCTGACTGTTCTTGGTTAATATTTTGGTTGTAAGACCTTTGTCAAAATCTCTTAAGAATCTTATATGCCGGAACCAGGTTACCACTTTCTTGTCCAGTGCGGCGAGATCTTCTTCCCTCAATGCTAAGTCTTCATAGTCTTGTAGCAATCCTATGGTATAGTTATTCCTTATTGCAAATATTGCTGCTCAAACCTGAATCTAAATCATTTATACATATGAATAACAGAGGTCCCAGGACAGCCTTGAGGCACTCCACTTACAACATTTTACCACTCTGACTTAAGCACATTTATACTAACTTTGTTTCCTTTGGTATAGCCATGCCCTAATCCAACTTAATATAGCACCCCTAATACCATAAGCCTCTGTCTTTATAATCAGTTTTTCGTGTGGAACTGTATCAAAAGCTTTGCTAAATTCAAGGTACACAACATCACAAACCTTACCGCTATCAACTGCCTCAACTATGTTGGAATAAAATTAGGGCAAATTTGTTAAACATGAACGGCCATTTGTAAAACCATGTTGTGAATCATTTATTAATTTGTGTTTTTCAAGATAGAGACGAATGGTATTTGCAATTATCGATTTCAAGTAACTTTCCCACAACAGACGTTAAGCTAATTGGCCGATAGTTTGACGCAAGTGATCTTTCTCCTTTCTTGAAAATTGGTACCACATTAGCAACACGAAACAATGGGTATAAAATGGATAAGTTTAGATTTAGGAATGACCTGGGTAAATACTGGTTCGGTAACAGGGTTGTTGATTTGTGGAACCAATTACCGTGTAACATAATAGAAGTAGGATCCTTTGATTGTTTCAAACGTAGGTTATACATATATATGAATGGATTTGGGTTGATATAAATAGAATCTGTCTCGTATGGGCCAATAGGCCTTCTGCAGTTAGTTTCATTCTTATGTTCTTATGTGTACTCTGCAGCATCTTGGCTCGTTTAATTTACAGTGCCAACAGGCTACAGTATGCGAGTCCCTTCACACCCTGTATGCCCAGCGAGTCCCTTCACACCCTGTATGCCCAGCTTACAGCACCAGCTGGGTACAGTCCTCGGGTCCCCCCTCACACTCTGTATGCCCAGCTTACAGCACCAGCTGGGTACAGTCCTCTGGTCCTCCTCACACTCTGTATGCCCAGCTTACAGCACCAGCTGGGTACAGTCCTCGGGGTCCCCCCTCACACTCTGTATGCCCAGCTTACAGCACCAGCTGGGTGCAGTCCACGGGGTCCCCGTCACACACTGTATGCCCAGCTTACAGCACCAGCTGGGTACAGTCCTCGGGGTCCCCCCACACACACTGTATGCCCAGCTTACAGCACCAGCTGGGTACAGTCCTCTGGTCCTCCTCACACTCTGTATGCCCAGCTTACAGCTCCAGCTGGGTACAGTCCTCGGGTCGCCCCCTTCACACTCTGTATGCCCAGGCATATCTTACCCAACGATTTACAGTGTTGTGAGTCGCATATTAATAACGACGTGTTATTAGTGCTTAAATAAGACCCACGTTGAGACTAGTCTAGACCAGTTTATGGTGATGAACACATGCGGAAACTTCTGCACCTGCTGCTTTGCCAAAGGACTTTTTCTCTCGAATAGTTCATCGCATTTCGGCGTGTAAATCACCAGTCAAATTATGATGTACTATCAATCATAGCGGTTAGCAAAAAATATCGAGCTGTCACGTTTATTATTCGTGGGTCCTCGGTTAAGTTAGGTTCGGGCAATTTAGTACATCATTTTTGTGACGTTGGGAGAACTAGAAAGGACGGGCTGTGAGAACACTGCTTCCCGCACTCGTGGTGAGCGCCGACTGTTGTAGCCTAGTGGCCAGCCACCTGTGTGCTGCGCCACCATTGTCGGTGACCACCATGTTCCAGGCCACCATTGTCAGTGGTCACCATTGTCGGTGGTCACCATTGTCAGTGGTCACCATTGTCGGTGACCACCATGTTCCAGGCCACCATTGTCAGTGGTCACCATTGTCGGTGGTCACCATTGTCAGTGGTCACCATTGTCGGTGGTCACCATGTTCTAGGCCACCATTGTCGGTGGTCACCATGTTCCAGGCCACCATTGTCAGTGGTCACCATTGTCGGTGGTCACCATTGTCAATGGTCACCATTGTCGGTGGTCACCATGTTCTAGGCCACCATTGTCGGTGACCACCATTGTCGGTGGTCACCATGTTCCAGGCCACCATTGTCAGTGGTCACCATTGTCGGTGGCCACCATTGTCAGTGGTCACCATTGTCGGTGGTCACCATGTTCTAGGCCACCATTGTCAGTGGTCACCATTGTCGGTGGTCATCACGTTCCAGGCCACCATTGTCGGTGACCACCATTGTCGGTGGTCACCATGTTCCAGGCCACCATTGTCAGTGGTCACCATTGTCGGTGGTCATCATGTTCCAGGCCACCATTGTCAGTGGTCACCATTGTCGGTGGTCACCATGTTCTAGGCCACCATTGTCAGTGGTCACCATTGTCGGTGGTCATCACGTTCCAGGCCACCATTGTCGGTGACCACCATTGTCGGTGGTCACCATGTTCTAGGCCACCATTGTCGGTGGTCACCATGTTCCAGGCCACCATTGTCAGTGGTCACCATTGTCGGTGGTCACCATGTTCTAGGCCACCATTGTCAGTGGCCACCATTGTCGGTGGTCATCACGTTCCAGGCCACCATTGTCGGTGACCACCATTGTCGGTGGTCACCATGTTCTAGGCCACCATTGTCGGTGGTCACCATGTTCCAGGCCACCATTGTCCATGGCCTCCATGTTCTAGGCCACCATTGTCCATGGTCACCATGTTCTAGGCCACCATTGTGCATCACCATTGTCAGAATTAGCCGGAGTATTTTCTTGGGTTTATAGGTTCGGTGCATAGGCGATTCTATGGGTATTAGAATTATATATTATCATATAGGATGAAAAATCATCTATTCTCTGTCCTACACTGACTTGTTGAGCTTGAAGCTGCTTCCCTTGTATGAGTTGTACTGAACCTCTTAAATAAACGGTCTGAATTAAAAACCCATTCAGTGACTAGGATAATAACTCCTAAGGGTCCTTTTCCTTAGAAATCTGCTGCTTGGTCGTATTGTCGACAGGTAGTTATAGTCTGGGTTATACTGGGTTTCTTGCAAGGTCTTGCATTTTTCAATATTGGAAAGCATTTCTGACCATTTGTGGAGTTCGTGTAGATCGCTTTGTAAAACACAAAAATCGTTTTCGCTTCCCACTCTACTATATATGTTTGTGTAATCTGAAAATTTGATGATGTGGTTCGTGATGTTGTCATCGATGTGGATGATGAATATTACAAAAATAGAACCTTGCGTTCTACTCTACTAACAAAAATATTTTACGCCCCTCAGTAATTAATGTAAATTACTGAATCTCACTCAAAATTAAAACACAAATCCTCATAACAAATCAGTAAAACTTATTAAAAATTAAACCATTGAATGTTTCCCCCACATTCTCATATTTTGTAAACTATTCATCACACAAATAAAAACTTCTATTAGGCTTTCATGAAATTAAAACCACTGCAATATTGGCACTTCCTCGACAAGGGTTTGTGATTGCCAAACGTTGAACGCTTCTGAATAAACAATACCACTTTATACTTGACGTTTCTCAAGGATGAGATGCCAACCCGCTCCCAACACAGCCATTATCCCTGCTCTTAATACAGGGCATATATATACTTTTACAGAGTTAATGAAACTGTTACTCCTATTATTTAATTGACCAGTTACTTGGTCATATAGGCAGGGATGATTCTACAGTTATTATTGGCGATCAATATCGCATAAGAATTAAACATGCTTAGTATTTCAATTTAAATAGTTAATTTGCACAGCTAGGCTTCACTCTTCATGGTAAGCCTAATACCAAGGATATATATATTTATATGTATATATATCGAGAGATCTATCCCGCTTCTCAAGGGATATATATGTTAATAATATATAAACATTATTGAATGATATAAATCATTACTGATCTGTTATTACTGAAAAATGAACGATAAAATAATTTAAATTTTCTCAGTCGGTTATTCCAGTATGACATCACAATTATACTCAGTAACTAGAAAACTCTGGATAATGAAACACATTCCAGAGGAATAATTAAAATATAATAAATGTTTCAAAACATTATAAATAATTCAATAAGTGAATTAAACCATTTGCACGACACAGCAAAAGAATGTTTCCAGATACGGAGCGCTTTATTTAATCCACAAATACGAATTAATTGTGATACATGATAAATAGTAACATCATTTCCTCACTATAAGGTCGGAATATATAGTACATCATATGACCAAGAAATGGGATACGTATATATTTTTGATTATGTAATATCAATAAATATAATGAAAAAAGAGGTGACGGATACCCAGGAAGTACTGGAACCAACACGGGTCTGCGGTCAGTTGATAACCAGACGTCGTCAAGACTGCACGTTAACGTGTTCCTCCATCACTAAATCACCCTGTTAATTAACCTTGCGACAGTCGTAACAAAAATACCTTAGAGCTGTTATGAAGCATATATATATATATTGGTGTGGAAATAGTTGTACAAGTAATGGAATAGTGCTTGAAGGACTAGTGTCAAGGCCGTAAGACCTAAGAAAGTTACACTAAGCATCTTCCTTAAACTCTAAAAGAAAAGTTATGACTTGAAAGAAGAGTAATAGTGTGTTTGAGGAGAGCTCGTGAGACCAACAGGAACACAGAGGTATGTATATATTAGCGAGTTAATTCACGAAATCACATTAATTTTACATGGGCATAAGAGATCTTGCATGAGGTCAGTGTGGGGTCGGGGGAAGACATCGCCGCACAACTCTTAAGTCTTCATACCATATACAAGATGCTTGGCTACTTTCTTAGTTTGAGTTTTATATTTAAATATCTCTCCCAACTCTTGAAGGTATTTTGTTTATATATTTTTGTTGTATGTGAGAAGGGGGGGGGGGGAATATACGCTGAAAGTTCTCAATCTACAGCTAATTGTTTTTTTTTATATAAATTATACACATTGCGATGTATCTACAAAATTATCAGACGTAACATTAGAGTAATTTTGGTGCGATGTATCTACAAAATTATCAGACGTAACATTAGAGTAATTTTGGTGCGATGTATCTACAAAATTATCAGACGTAACATTAGAGTAATTTTGGTGCGATGTATCTACAAAATTATCAGACGTAACATTAGAGTAATTTTGGTGCGATGTATCTACAAAATTATCAGACGTAACATTTAGAGTAATTTTGGTGCGATGTATCTACAAAATTTTCAGACGTAACATTAGAGTAATTTTGGTGCGATGTATCTACAAAATTATCAGACGTAACATTAGAGTAATTTTGGTGCGATGTATCTACAAAATTATCAGACGTAACATTAGAGTAATTTTGGCGCTTCATATTTAGCCGGATATATCAAATCTGTCGGTTATGCACTCAGTTTAAACATTTCGTTAGTTTAAACTAACGAAATTTATCCACAAACTTAAAACTACTAAGTTAAGTCTCTTAATGTCCAGGCGGCGGTCGACGCCACCAAGATGGTTTTAGCGTAGTACTTCGTAGTCAAAATCGTTTTTTTTTCTCGTATAAATCAATATTACTATATAAGAATTGTATGTATAATGAGGCATTGGTTAAGTTCGGTGTTTAGATTATCTGCCATGATCACGGGTTGTCATGTTAAGAGGTTGACGGGCTGCCAACAGCGCTCGGGATTCAATCTACTAAGGTCTCGGGTTCGATCCCCGGCGGAGGCGGAAACAAATGGGCAGAGTTTCTTTCACCTTGATGCACCTGTTCACCTAGCAGTAAATAGGTACCTGGGAGTTACGGTTGCTATGGGATGCTTCCTGGGGGTGTGTAACAAAAAGGAGGCCTGGTCGAGGACCGGGCCGCGGGGACGCTAAGCCCCGAAATCATCTCAAGATAACCTGTCCTACTAAGAACGTCGCTTTTCGTTCTTATGCGTTATTCAAGGCCAAAAATTGTCGTACTATAAAATGTTAGCAGCTTGTGAAAGTGACGTACTGTCCCGTTTTCTGTTTTGGGTCCACTGGTAGGTTAGGATAAGGGCACTTTACAATGACCGTTTTCTTGACGTCGGTAAACCTTAAGAGGAGGAGCTGTCCATCCGGCGCCCGACTCCCAAACGCATTCAAAATTTTAATGTGCTTTCCATTCAAATTAAAAATGTTCTCAAATTTATCTCAACTTATATATCAAAACTTATATATCAAAACTTGTATATCAAAACTTGTATATCAAAACTTGTATATCAAAACTTGTATATCAAAACTTGTATATCAAAACTTGTATATCAAAACTTGTATATCAAAACTTGTATATCAAAACTTGTATATCAAAACTTGTATATCAAAACTTGTATATCAAAACTTGTATATCAAAACTTGTATATCAAAACTTGTATATCAAAACTTGTATATCAAAACTTGTATATCAAAACTTGTATATCAAAACTTGTATATCAAAACTTGTATATCAAAACTTATATATCAAAACTTATATATCAAAACTTATATATCAAAACTTATATATCAAAACTCAAAACTTGTGAACATATTGTGCATATTTAGGTGTAGGTTAGGTAAGGTGTTTAGATTCTGTTGGCAATTATTTATAGTATGTGGGTGAAGCTGTTAAAAGTTGAGATTCGAACAGGGATCATCAACAAAGCACTCTTTCGACAAATGTTCAACGTCGTGTGTAAGGTGTTTTTCATTCATAGAAAGGGGTTTGGCGGCTGCAAGGACTGAACCATTGGTCTGTGTTGCCGAGGACAGGCAGTATTTGAAGTGCATTGGTGAAACATTGGCAGGTGCGATTCTGATTATCAGAACGTTTGCGAAAATTTCTTTTTCAACAAATTCAAAATTTTTAAATTTCTAATTGTTAGAGAAATGATCGGACGTCATCAGTAATTCATAAACGGATTGACGCACGAATTAAGGAGCATTTTGACATTGAGGCAGCCCGTCCTCATAAACAAAGTCCATTCCAAACACCCGCCAAACCCCGGATATGAATGGAAACCGGTTTACACACAACTAACAACTGATAATGATTCGAACACTTCGGGAACAACTGCTTCACTGACGACTTTTGTCCGAACCACAACACCGTAAATACTTCACCCATGTTAAACAAATACAAGCAATCGCCAACAGAACATAAACACCTAACTTAACCAATGCCTAAATATGTATAGTATGGAAATATCTAACAATATTAATTTATATTTGAGAATTCTTATTTTGAATGAACAGCATATTAAAATTGATGTTGCGTCCTTTGGGTCGACCGCTGGATGGAATGAACTTGGTCTGAGGACGAGTTGTTTGAGGACAGGTTGCATGAGAACTACACGTGTTCACTCGCAACACCACCCCTCACCCCCTCATGTTAAACGTCACTCCACATCTGTTGCTGTCACGGAATATACGAGGTTCTGTAGGCTAGGTTCAAGCGCTTGGCACACCGCTTACAGACGTCAACTAGCTCTCTGCACCAACACTTCCAGGTAACGCAGCCTCCCTGCACCGGGCTCGTCCTGTGCATTCTTGGGTGGCGCAAATAGTTCTTTATGGTTATCTTGAGATGATTTCGGGGCTTTAGTGTCCCCGCGGTCCGGTCCTCGACCAGGCCTCCACCCCCCAGGAAGCAGCCCGTGACAGCTGACTAACACCCAGGTACCTATTTTACTGCTAGGTAACAGGGGCATAGGGTGAAAAACTCTGTCCATTGTTTCTCGCCGGCGCCCGGGATCGAACCCGGGACCACAGGATCACAAGTCCAGTGTGCTGTCCGCTCGGCCGACCGGCTCCCTGGTGTACAGTGAATTGAATTGAACTGTCAGGGAATCGGGCCAAGCCATTACGACTTATAGCACTGGGAAGGGGGTCAGGATAAGGCTTTGGGATGGGACGGGGGGGGGGGGGAGAGAGGAATGGTGTCCAACCACTTTGACGGTTGAGGATTGGGATTGAACGCCGACCTGCATGAAGCGAGGCCGTCGCTCTACGGTCTATTCCCAGTGGCTGGGTGTTTATGGTGTCCAGTATTATCATGATTAAATTCAGATTTAATGATTTGAATTCGTAATCGAAAAATCGGCAAGTAGAAACTTGGAAATATCATTGTTTTAACGGACATGAGTGAATCGAAATATCCATTTATTTCCCGTTATTTTGGAACTATTTGATCCTGTTGCTCTCATTGTTAAATCTATATAAATAAAAATGTAAATGTTCGTTTGTTCAAAATCGCTAATATCCGAAAGTTCTTCACCGATTGCTTTGAAATTTTGACACAACGTTTCATTCGCATCCGAGCGTGTTTTAAATTAATATACATACTATATAGATGTCACGTCTGTAACGGGAAACATGATGTTTTTGAAAAAACTTTGTGTTTTTCATGTGAGGGGGGAAATCTTCAAAACCTCTTTACCGATTGCTTTGAAATTTTGACGCAACGTTGCATTCGAATAGGCGCGTGTTTTTATATACCTACTATATACATGCCTCACCCGTGACAGCAAAAACCATGCTCTTTTATTTTTAAAACAGAACCATCTGTTGGACGTAAGTAACGCAAGCTGTAATCTCCGAAAGTTCTCCACCGATTGCATTTTTTTTCTACCACAGACGTGGCCACACATTTACGATGCTAATCAGCATGTATACATTTTTTTTTTGAGATATATACAAGAGTTGTTACATTTTTGTACAGCCACTAGTACGCGTAGCGTTTCGGGCAGGTCCCTGGAATACGATCCCCTGCCGCGAAGAATCGTTTTTTTATCCACGTACACATTTTACTGTTGCGTTAAACAGAGGCTACAGTTTAGGAATTGCGCCCAGTAAATCCTCCCCGGCCAGGATACGAACCCATGACAGCGCTCGCGGAACGCCAGGCGAGTGTCTTACCACTACACCACGGAGACTGTAGACTGTCCTCCATGGACAGGGTTAGAGAAGTGTTAAGCATATAGTTCAAGGGTTTATTGAACACTCAACCACAGAAGGTGATTCGGTGCTTTTAAAATGCTAAGCTAACCTACATAAGTAAATACATACACAGATTTACGTATGCCCTACATAAAGTGTTTGATGTGTCTTTTACATAGTGTCATTAATGTACATTTACAAAGGTGAAATGTAATTCTGATCAGCTTCCATATATACTTTATACCCATACATATACATACACACACACATATACATACATATATACACACATGCATTCACATACATTTGTCTCATTTACTCTGACAGGGTGAGATAGCTGATAAAGAAACTAGTGTGGAATTAAGCACTTAATCACTGAAGGTGATGAAGGTGCTTTTACAAGCTCAGGTTATATAGTTACATCATATATATACATTGTATAATTGATATATTACATGGTCAATCTTGAATACAAGTCCAATATATCAAGTGTTCCAGTACTCGTATAGTAATTACAGAGTTCAGCATACCTTAACCCAGGAGGGCGAAAGTCAGTCAGTATGGGACATTCTACAATATAATGTTCAAGAGAGTGCATGTTTTCTCTTTCACAAAGTTGACACATTGTGTACTCGACATTTGGGTTTTGAGAAAGCTGCCAGATACGTCTATATCCCAGGCGTATTCTGGCCACTATAATATCACATTGCCGGGTTCTTGTTCTATTAGTCCCA